TAAAAATTGAATAATCATAATAATATATGATATGTAGCCTATATCCAACGAAAATCATGATTTTCTGCAGAAAAATGACATTAATACCAACATAATAAATCAGCGTCAAAATCTATCTTCTTTCGTATCAACGCACACATACACACGCACACCCTATCAGTCTGGGCCGCCAAAATTTTCTTTGCGATTCGAAAATGACTGATAATCACACCTCGTGGTGACATTAATCATGTTAAGAATAACACAAAATGGTTGACACAAACGAGAGAAGAATGAAAAGACGAACCAAAAATGTTCAGAAGAAGAATTTGAAGCGGGGGGGGGGGTGAACAATTGTGATAACACAACGAATGCAATTATAGCAGGAAATTTTTCGAGAGACCCCAAAGTTATTTCGATTTGATTCGTGATTTATGAGTGCGCTTTTTTCTTGTCTTCGACGCAATGTCGCTGATTACTGTAGAAATGAATATCGCATCAATTCATCAAATTGAATCAACTGATCATACTGTCGTTGGAATCTCAGAAAAATAATGAATAGTTGGAGAAATCTGAACTGACATCGAAGCATTGAATAATTGTGATGACCGTATAAAAGTATATAGTTGGCGTCTGGAGACCGCTGTACGCGGATAGATTTACGGGGATGCTCCTTTCCTTTTCCTTCTAACTGGTTGCTTTGCATTGTATGGTTTGGTTCGATAATTTTTAAATCGAGAGACGTTAGAAATTCTAAGAAATGCCAAATCATCAAGAAAAATTAATCATTCACGTGAAAACAGCAAAATAAGCGCTCAAACGTGGCGAGACCTTTTCAAGGCGCATGCGCGTAAATCTACACGCGTACAGCAGTAAATCGTCAAAAAATTGTCGGAATTTTCTTCTTCTTCTCATTCAATTTTAATTTTTTTTCAATCAAGTTTGTTTCCTCAATTCCAATTGCAACCGATTCCAATCCAGTTTTCCGCAGACCTCCCGCAACAATAAACAGTGTGCAATTTGGCGTGACGGTGCACAACAGCAACAAAATTCGGCTCATCAATTTTCAAACGACGATGAGGGGGGGGGGGGACCCAACAAACAAAAGTGGCGGCGGCGGCGGCAGCACTAAATCGCGCCTCACTTCTGATTTATGGCAACCGATTCATGTCCGTTTTACACACACACACATACGTTTAGGAGCATTTTGCTGCCAAAATGTGACGGCGGTGAGAGAACGAGAAGAATGAATGTTTGGGTGGATCAGCGAGCCCATCAAATAATTCAAAAACTCATGATGATGAAGCTCCTTTGGGGAAGCCGAATTGCGCGGCAATTACTCAAAAAGTTGCGAAGAAGAAGCCGACAAATCGGCGATCATTCATCACAGCTTATCCTACCCATTATTTTTTGGGCTTGCTTCTCAACCGGAAAAAGCCTAGCACAGGACCGTCGAGAGGAAAGAACCAATTGCACGAATGGAAACCATTGGGAGGGGGGGGGATCGACATCATCAGTGATCTCAAACCAATGCCTTTTTTTATCATATAGTATTTACGTTGTTGATAAGTCAAAGGGTTGAGGTCGATATATGTGACAGTGATCGAATGGACGGGATTTAGAATGTGACAAGAAAACGGATCGACAGTTTTCAAGTTTTTCTTGCGGGACTGATGAAGCAATCAAGAAATTTCTCGATATTGATAAATCGTTTCAGAGGCGGAAGTCACGAGATGTTGAAGTGTTGAATTCCATTGTTTCAGAATAAAGGGGTTCAAGAATCCTGTGAATTTCATACGTCTGCTCCTAAAATCCATTTTCATACATAATTTGTCTGATCCGGTCTTCTTTATCCAGCCTAAACTTCGGATCACCTTAATAATGTTCAAAAATGTCCGTTTTTTTAATTATTAATTTAACAAGCCCACAGCAGTAGGTTTGATATAATGCTTCATACATATATTTTCAATGTTTCCTCATTTCTTCCGACTACAAATTGTTACAATGTGTTCTTATTGACATAAACCTCATCATTTTTCTTTTTATGAAGCATGACATGTTGTGGATGAACAATATTTTGAAAGCTAATAAGAAAAGAAACAGAGGTCTCTTGTGATGAATGAATAAGAAACAGAAATACTGAAATTCTTAGGGTGGCCTATAATTCAGCACCGCTCGAAAAATGGTTTTGGAACACTGAGCGATTACTTTTTAAGATACTAACATTTAAATTGGTACATTTAGGTAATTTCACATGCTGAACGCGATTTTAACACTGGTTGGTCTCAAAATATCGAAATAATTGCGCACTGTATATAACGATATCTGAATATGGATTTCCTTGATTCACAAACAGCATTTTCAGAAGTGTTGTAGAAAATCTGTAAATAAGTATTCCCCAAAAAATGTTTTCATTTTGCTGATTGGATTGTTTTTCACCGGATTTTTACACCGATTTGCCTGAATTGCTGACCTTATTGCCAATTGATTAATATGCTGGACAGTTGTGCGAAAATTATGATGAATCATCCTCGAATGCGATCATCAACAGATCATCAGCATGCCGTGCAACACACCCCCATCAGGTCCGTCAAGCAAGTCGACTCCAAATATTCGCATCAATCATTTTCGTCAAAACGAATCGAACGTTGCGCTACTGATCGCGTGCGATTTAATGAAATGGTTCGTGTTTGAAAACGACGACAATCAGGAAGCCAAGGGATCGCAAATCACTGTCTGGCGTTTGCTGTTCAAGAACCTCGTGCCCGGAAGCCGATAAAAAATGAGGCGAAGAAAGAGAAGGCATAGATTGCATAATAATAATAATAATAATGATAACAATAATAGAAAAACATGGCGGGGTGTGTCTTTGATAAGATGATCAGGAATCGCAGCCACAAAAAATGGGCTTCACTTCATTATTTGGCCCTTCATAATGGGAGGTCATCCATCACCGAAACATTTTTAAAAATGTTTTGGTTTCTGATCCCAATCGAACCGATCCATCAAATAATTGAGGACGATAACAGTTGGCAGCGAAACATTTCGAAGCCAATTTTGGGGATCTTAGCTTCATGCAAAATTCGGTTTCTGGAAGGAATCAGAGAAATACACCGAGTGATTTACTCCTAAAACAGGGGTCCTAGACACTGCGTGCGGCTCAATAGGTCTGTGAGACCTCCATTACAAAATCCCTGTAATACATAATCGAATTTTTAGAAACTGCTTGAAGTGTATCTGATAAAAATGTATAAAATTCTGAGAATATTCTGATCATAATGATTTTTTTTTCATGCATCAGTGTTCAATGATATCTCGATTTTTGATAAAATACCACTTTGTACAATAGCGTCACGCATGATACACTTTAGGTACTTTTCATGATGTGTGTTATTTCGAGTTGAAACCGGAATCTCGAACATTGTTTCGAAAATTGATGACCTAGCGGATATGCCCCAAAAATGGTCAATAAACCTGAAAACCGTCATCGATCATTTGCAATTTTGGTGTCGTCACTTCTTTTTGTCTACATCAGCAAATTGTGTATGCATTTGAAGTATTCGATCAGGTGGTAATTAATCAAAATGTTTGAAGAGGGGCCAACGCAAAATCGCGTCTCTCGCCGCGCATGGTATCTGTCTGAAGAAGGCGAAAACCTATGAAAATGATTGATGTGTCGATTGCCGAACCGCGACACCTTTTGTCTAAATGTTTATTATTCAATTTATTATCTATGTCAAATAAGGGACTGGTTTGCTTCCGGAATTCATCCAAATGTCTGTATCATGTGCAATTTTTGACAAATGCTTTTTTTTAATCCTATGAATTTTCTTTAAAGCAAATATATACTACTTTTAGTGATAAAGTCACGCGAATATGATTTTTCATGAAAAACTTGTAAAAACCACATTTGACTCTTTGAAATATCGCCTGATTTTATTGTAATGTTTTGTCGGAGTCAAATGACAGGACAAAATAAAAAAAATATTGGCTATGTACCAATGTGCCTCGAGGAAGCGAGAAGTACGCAAGACTGCGTACATTGCATTATAGTGTACGCGCATTTAATATTCAGCCAACAATAAATTAAAAATATGCACTGATTTCACGAATTCGAAGGCTCCTTTAGTCGTTTGACGCCAACAGTGTTGAAAATTTGATTCACTAGAACGGAGGAATTTTCAAATGTGCACATCGAAAATTCGAGACTGTTGTTTCTTAATTTGAGCTCCATGTTTAAATATTCTTATTTACTTAAGCTGATTTCAGTAATCCCAAAATTTTAATTTAGATGTTTTGATTTTTTGCCATATTAAATTCTCTAAAAATATTTTGGAATCAATTTCAGATTCTTGACTATAATTTTAGACCGATTAGAAGATGACCATCATGATTGATCAGCAGTTAATCTCCATGCTCTTTTTTTTTTCAAAATTCGCCAATTTCAAATCGGTTATTGGTGCTACACTCGCCGACATTCTTTATCAACTATTTTTTTGCAAATTGCCCCCATTCATCCAATCTCATCCATCTTAAACATCCAAATATTTGGGCGAGCGACGAGACGAGAAGGAATTAAGGGAGACGATGAAAAAGATGAAGAAGAAAGTAATTAATTTCGGCGCGTTCCTTATGAACATCGAATCAAACCGAATGTACTTAAGATTCAGCACGAGATAAAACTAAAAAGAAGAAGATGAAGAGAAGAAGAAGCAGTTGACACTTGATTGATCTGATGATTTGAACACGAAATGTCAAATGTTTTGTCGGGATCAACCGAATTAATCAAACGAACTGGAGGAGTGTGCTCATTATTTCATAAAATGCCGTCATCAATCACGGATAAAGAAGATATCTGTAGATTCAATGATTTTGCTTTTTTTCACAAATGGTCCAATTTTCGGGGATCGGTCAACACAAAAATACGTTATTAATAATCATTTGATCGTAATTTAATAATGCGACAAATTCTTAAAACGCTTAATTTATGTACAGGAAAATTCACGAAACAGGGTGGAGGACTAGTTCGATTTTTTGGTGTCAACTAATTCGAGATCCATCGCATCTACTTCCTCATCGGGATTCGGTAAATGACCGATATAAGTACATCGTGGGTATTTTTGCTTTAACTCAGGCCATTGCACAAGAACGTCGTCGACTAGACCACAGTAATAAAGTATTGCACCTAAACAACAAAATATTTTCAAACTCAAACCTTGTACGTTTAAAAATGATGTTATTCGGAAAATAAAAGAAAAATTTACCAGAAAGTGATAATTTTGTGACCCGGCAGATGGACTCTTCATAAATAATCACTGTATCAGTAAGACGGATGAGGTCGAAGAATGCGGCAGCAAATGCAACTGGAATACATGTTCCGGGGCCATTTAATAGCACAAGATCTGGCCTGTAGCATTTTTCATTGTTTTAGAAACAGAAAAAAATCTTACTTGCAATCATAAACGACTTGTACAGCGTAATATAAAGCATAAAAAGTGGAGCCAATTGAGGAAATATACGATTGCCCGACTTCCCTCGATCTTGGAATTTGTTTTACGGTATAATTCCCGGAATTTCTTCGCTCTTCAAAGCTTTTCAACTGAAATTGATATTAAGAATACTGCAATATGGCTATTTTACCTTCTGGCCACTCATTGAGTCAGTTTCAGCGAGTATGTACGTGCGATCAGAATATTCTTCCCCTAGTTGCTCAATAAGCTCAAGCATTTCGGTCGTATGACCTCCGGAACCAAGTACAGCACATAAGGATACCAGAAAAATACATTCCAGTCACGAAATCGTTAAAAATTATACGAACCTTTTTTCTATCTTGACGATTTTTTGAATTATGGTTAGAGTGTCGAATTAGGTATGTTAGAAACGCTGTTGAAATTAAAACTCCAAATAAAATTATCGCAGTTACACAGAAGAAAACGACGAACATCGAATCTGAACAGAACAGGTTATGAAATTCAAAAAATTGAAGAGAAAAAAAGGTGGCCTAGAAATATTCACAGTGTGGCCTAAGTTATAAATACTCGGTGAGCCTTACGAGACTCACCGAATTTTTTCAAATTTTTCTCGGCAAATTCATGTGGCGAACATTGGAAGAAACAGTGGCGAAAAATACCAAATTAGTTGTTTTTGTCAACGCAGTGAAACGGTGTAACTCCGTTATTCGAAAAAACATTAAAAATCCACTGTTTCGCCCGATGAATTTGCCAAAATTTGTATCGATGTAAATATTATTTCAATTTTTAAATGTCCAAACTTTAATATTTATTATGAATGCTTTGTAAATATCAACATATTATTGATATTTCGTAATCTAGTATCGTTCATATATAATTCCACAAGCTTTATAGTAAAACATTTCAGATTTCATGAATGTTAATCAAATCACTCTATGTTCCCGGTCATTCAATATTAGTAAGATAATTCAAAATTTTCTATTTTTATTTCTTTATTTTAGCGAGCTTTCTCGAAGAAAAGGGCACCGTTTATCGAGAAGTCACGAATCGGCATTAAGTCAGTAAAGGTTGCCCCCAGATATCCCGTATTAAAGGCGAGAATGACGATGGATAAAAAGCACCAAGAGTTTGATAATCTTTTGGTTTTGGATTTTGAAGCTACATGTCAAGAAAATAGCTTGGGACCGATTACGCCAGTTCAGGTTAGTAAAGAGGTTTTTTTACCATGTGATACATAAGGTGTAAGAACCGTAAAAGAAAAAAAATATATATATAGTGCTTTGTCATATATCAATAATAAAGGCAAACAATTCGCTGTCCCGCAAAAAATATTTATTATTTTAACGAAGGCCCAGAAGAAAACAATACTACAGAATGAATTAATTTTAGGAAATTATTGAATTTCCTGTGGTTCAAATAAGCACAAAAGACTGGAAAGAAATTCGAAGGTTTCATGAATATGTTCGACCAACGATTAATCCGCGACTAACTTCATTTTGCACGAATTTGACTGGAATTATTCAGGTGATTTTGTGAAAATAATCAAATTTTAATTTAGTTTATAGGAAATGGTTGACAATAAACCAACCATCGACGATGTATTGAAGAAATTTGACAAATGGATAACGGAGGATCCGAATTTGGGAAAATTCGCATTTGTAACATGCGGAGACTGGGATTTGAAAGTAGCATTGCCAAATGAAGCCGATTTCAAGAAAATCAAAGCTCCATGGTGATGATCCTTTTATTCTTATACATGAAATGTTATTTTTTTAAGGAATGTATTAATTCCATTAAGTTGCAATTTTGAGCAATTTTAAAATTTGATTGCACTTTAGAAAACTATAGAAGAATTTTCATAATTTGAAAATGTAATTCAAAGATTCATGAAAACGAAATTAAGTTAAAAAAGATTAGTCCTAAAAAAATAATTTAAAGTCTTCCTTAAAATTCTGTTGTTGTTTTGAATATTTTGAATAACTTCGAAACAAAATAAACGTAACAATTTCAGCTATTTCAATCAATGGATTAATCTGAAAAAGGCATATGCATCACATACTGGAAACTTTGTGAGAGGAATGCCTGAGTTGTTGAGAATTTACAATCTGAAAATGGTTGGAAGGCATCACAGCGGTATCGACGATGTGGCGAACATTTGTGAAATTGCTCGGTGTTTGGGAGAAAGCGGTCATGTTTATAGGTAGTTTTCTAATAAATTTATGCGAATATTTTGCAAATTTAAGGATCACTAGCGGCGATGTTCAACGTCGACGGGTATTCAATGATGTGAAAGGACTGGTTTAATAAAAAAATTTATTGAGATGTCACCTTAAAAAAAACAAACGAGACCCGCGTCAATTTCAATCTATAATTTGAAAAATTATAAGATTCAGACGATATGATAGCCCTTGTCCTTTGAGACGTTGGTTGGTGGCTTCGCATCCTTCTTGTTGTCGATGCTTTTTGCGCGGCTTAAACGCCTTCTAAGGGAGCGTGATCGTTTCTGGAAAAAATATTTCAAATTTTAAAGAACCAAAGACAATTACAGCAATTTTTCCGACAGGTTGATAGCGTGCAGAATGGGAATTCCAGTAATGACAGATCATGACGGCAGTCAAAATAAAGCAAACTCCTTCAAAAAATTAAATTAGACATATTTTTTGGAATGTTTATCAGAATACCTAAAGCTACAGAAGCGAGTAGCATGAATCCTGAGAGACCATTGCCGAGTCCAGTGCGAACCTTCATCTTGGAATAGTGGTCCAACCAGATTCCGGTGGTAATCACGGCAAGCAGACTTCCGACCGATGACATGATGCAGAAGACGAGCCACAGGATAAGCATCGTCCGCCATCTATATCGGTGAACGGCTCCCAGGCCGACAGCACCTGTGAGTAGACTCACAATTGCTGATACAGTGTTCATGTGACACGTCGACTGATATTCTGCCTCATGGGGATATCCGGGACACGTAGTCCCATGAGCCAAGAACATCAATGAAAGCACGATCTCAGCTCGGCAAAGGTTCACCATTATCTGAGCATACCTAGAAGCAATTAATTATGTGATTATAAATAATTAAGGTTGTTCATTACTCAGTATGTTGAAATCCGGCCTTTTGCATCACTGTGTATGCTTTGTATCGTCTTCTTTCATTCGAAGAAAACTCTTCTTCCTCTTCAGATGTCTAAAAAGCCGCTCAGTTAGTAGATCAAATGTTCGTATTGGTTACCATTGGTCCGGGCATCAATTGTGCGGGTTCGTCGAATGAAGGCCGCAGCAGACCCATACTAAGATTTTGCTGTAAACAAAAATGAATGAGGATCGATAACAATCGGTGTATGAATTGTTTGGAAACTCACAAGAACATCGAACTCGTGAAAATACAACAAATCGTCGCTAAATTCGACTTTGCGCATTTGAATCGATTTTTGCGGAACGAAATTTAAAGAAGAAGAATCAGAGTCGAAAACCGGAACGCGAGATATGTACTAGACAACACGGTCATTTGTATTCTTTCGAGATCGATCGACACCTTTTTTTTCTATTTCTCTATCTACACCATTAACTGTCTAATTCAAAACGAATAAGATAAACGAAAAGAATAGCCAAAAAAACGAATTGAAAGTTGAAGCTTATGAGACAACTGCAACAGGCAAAACCTGTCTTTTGATGGCATATGTGTTAGATTCTAGACGGTTGAAGAATAAAAAGAAAATCTAATCGTGTTCATCGAACGCGACGATTTTTTGAGCTGTTGTGCTTTGCTGTTTCCTCGAAATGCCCGCCAATACCTTATAAGTCTTATAAATTTTCAAATATGCAGATTTTGTGAAGAAAACTAAAAAAACCGGTTTTAGAAACCAAAAAATATTTTTTTTAACCCTATGATGATTGCGTTCGATTCATATCTCTGATAACAAAAAACCATCTGTCTGGATCAGACAAAGTTTGGCCTCGGAAACAACATTAACCGATTGGAAATTTTACGGATAAGATTGCAAAATTGTCAGATCCGATTGGTTTTTTGGGTATTTTCGGATCCGATTCGAATAGAAAAATTTAAAAAAAAACGAATTTGAATAATAACCAATCGGATCCGAAGAAAATCCAATCGCATCCGACAATTTTACCATCCTATTCGTAGAATTTCCAATCGGATAAGGTTGATTCCGGAATTTTGACCGATTCAATTGGTTTTGAGCTACCAGAGACGATGTTCAAAAGGGTTTGGCTTATGATTCGGTGATACAAAAATCTGTCTGATGTATTTCCATTCCATCCTATATTTTTGTATTTTGACACAATTTATTAAAATTATTTTTTTCAATGTTCTGAAATATCAATATTGTTTGATTAATTTCCCAGTATAAAAAGAGATGCGACCCAAAATATTGTATTGAGCAGACAAACTATTAAAGAAAAAGCAAATTGTCAATTAGGCTGCATTTATATTCCGTCAAAATTAGTTTTATAGTTAACGCAATTTTATATTTTCTAATTTGCCGAAAAAATATTTTTTTTTCAACTCTGATGACCGCAAAGTAAAATCGAAATTTCTATTTTTTTGCTTAATTGAAATTATTGTATTGTCAGCTTGGAAATGGTGATATTTCAGATGTTTGATGACGCTTCTGTCAACAATACACTTTGGTCTTGAAACGAACGAGATGTGTATGAAGCAATCAACTAGAGTCTTCAAATGACGCCAATAAACAGATGGCCGCCAATGGCTGCTTACCCAGTTTTTTTCTGAACTACGGCGGACAATGGTCACTTTAATTGGCGAAAATGTTACATTTAACAAGCGAGGAGGCAGGAAACGGCGATTTTGATTTTTGGCGAGAGAATCAGAAGCTCAAATCGAATGCCCTTTACAATTGCTAGCAATTTGATCAAACTAATTGAACCATGAGGTCACCAACAAATTGTGTGTACCAAATAGGGCGCCAAGGTCTCATCATATTGTCCTTTTAATTACCAACAAAAAATGGTTTGGAATTTAAATTTAATCACGCGAATCTCAATTTTCTCAATTCAATTTTACGCAAAAAATTATCTCAATTTTCAATCGTGAACGCGCAACGATTTTAGTGGAAAAATTGCACAGTTTATTGAAATTTTGCGATAAAAATGTTGACATTTTGATATTTGTTTTTTTCAAAATTAAATTGATATTTTGGTTTACATATTAGTTTAATAAAATTGAGAAAACATGATTTCTTAAAACATTGAGATTACGAATACAAAAATGTGGGAGAAAAGTGCCTTAAATGAGGACCGCAAGAATTCAGAAATTTAAAGAAAAATCTAATCTTTAAAATTAGGAATAATCTAAAATATAATAGAAACATACATTCGAAAAAAAACAGGAACTTACCAAAGTGCACAATGAGAATGGCATGATTATCTTGAAAGTTGATCGCTCGATGCAAACAATAATAAGAACAATACAAGTAATCGGCGATGTCGACGATGAAGTCGAAGATGTTCCCCTCAGATGGGGTTCTTACAGTGTGTTTTGTGCGGATGGTAGCCTGGCCGGGGTTTAGCTAGCACAAAAATGCCGAACGAGACGATACACACACACACACACACGATACGTGGGCGACACGAAAAATGACGGGCCGAAATGGAGACGACGCAAAAAAGAGACGGCGAAGATGAGCGACGACGATGCGATGAGGAGAAATGCAGCCAGCGACGGAAATCTCGAAGCAGATAAAACCGAGGACGACGGCGAGAAAGTGTGCCGATCGGCGAGGATGGCCGACGGTATCCGAAATCCGCGAATTTTGGACCCACACGCGGGGGTGGATCGACGTACAAATCATCTGATACGGTCGACCGAATCATCCGATGGCTTCCATTTATTATTGGATCGCCCAAAAAAAGCGGCGTCCGATTGGCAGATATAAATCGAAAGTCGCAATTTGCGATTATGGTTTTGACCTATAAAACTACTTTCACCTCTGGTGGACCAATTTGGAAAACAAATGTGTGAACGAATCAAAAAATTTACTTTTTTTTATATTTTCTATTGTCGGCGTCGCGTGATTGCGAAAAATGGGCTAAATGCCAAAAAATTAATGACAGTGGGTCTTAGCGCAAAATTAAAAGTGTAGATTTACGGGCCCATGTATAAAGATATGCTAAAGGCGCAAACCGCGTACCTCTTTTTAAATTGTTTGGCGTTTAGCCAATTTTCCGAAGACATCGGAAATTGAAATTCTATTAAATGCTAAAACAAATTTAGGTAAATATCTTAGCGTGCGCCTTTAACCTACTTGGCTCGTAAATCGACATCTTTGGCATTGTGCCAAGAGCGCTCTCATTGTTTCCCGAGAGGAAAGTGCATTTGGCTACTAACTCGATTAATCTCTCACGACGATGAATTCAACAAAGACCTCGAAAACGTTCAATTTGTTATCGAATTAACAAAAACTTTGAACTGTAACACGGAATTTGTTTCGTTTTTTGGTAGAACACGTATAGCAAATTAATATCCAAATTAGTTTTGCTGGTTGGCGGATGATGGTGAAACCGTGCTAATCATTCGCTTTTATCCAAAAACTTGAAAATTCTCATAATGAATGTAAATAATCGCTAATTATAATTAATCAATGCCCCTTCAAATATTTTCAGACCCAAAGCTTAAAAAAATTGTTTACAAAAATGTATTGAAATTGAATTGAAAAATTCTTATAAATTTGATTGATATTTTTCGGCCATTTCCGGTTTTTGCTAGAAATGAAAAAAAGAAACGTTTTCGATTATTGGATTTCTCGGGAATCCAATGAATGCCATTGTGATTTGTGATTTCGAAAAACTCGAATGCAATCGAATCAGAAGGTTGAAATTCTCGGTGGGTTTTCGCTTCGAAACCGAATATTTTTTGGCGTGTTTACAATCAACAAAAATGCGTGTCAACAGAGCGAACATTCTCGAATGAGAGAACAGTAGATTGAAATAACCTAGTCTATCATTGACGATTTGTGCGAAACAAATAGAAAACCAAAACTTAAAGATAAAACGAATGCTGTGTGAATTCTCGTTTTTTCTTTGATGAGGTTCGCAATTAGTTTAAAACTTACGACATCTAGAAGATTTTTTTTTCGTCTTTTGGCATTTTCTACTTTTTCAATTTTTTTTCGAATGATATTTTGAACTTGGCGGAATATTCTCCACTTATCGCCAATTGTAGCCCAGACAGAAATGAGAGAAAACATAGAAAAGATGAAAAATGATGAAGCTGATGAGAATCTGATTGGTCGGCTACAAGAATTGTAGCCAATGAGAAGCAACAAACCAATTGAATGCAATAGTGGTCAGTTCGAGAATACACTGTATATTGTTGTATAGTGTTCTTTTGAATCGTCATAAGAGGAAAACATGATGAATCGAATGAGAATCGAGACGAACAAAATGTAGTCGGTTTGTGGGCAATGACGAGAATCTCATCATTCATTAAATTCTCACCAGCCGTGTGTGTTTTTTTTTTCAAAAAATATTGTCGAAGACGGACGAATTTGACAAGTTTGAATGATCAAACACATTTAGTTTAAACTTTTTCTCCTTTGTTTTTCCTCAATTGAACGTATGCGCCTTTAATGCCTCGCTGTAGTTTTCAATGACGAAATGAATAAATTGCACGACTCGAGGATTTTAACTATTGCCATCGCAAAAATTAGGATACCGTAGTGCGGATAACCTGCGAATCAAACTCGCCGTAAATCTACTCAGGTTTCTTGTTTTCTTGCGCGATTTTAACCCTTTTTGCCCGCGCACGACAATATACATATATCAGTCTTAAACACATACTGTTTTATTTTTGAAAGTTTTGAAGCTCACGAGATAGGTAATCATGATCTTCCCTTTTTTTTTCTTTAAATTAGATCTCAACCATTCCATATGGATAATATTATCCGAATTCCGACGAACTTTGGAAAATCGGTGAAAAGTGGATCAGTTTTTTAAAATCCACTTTTGATCCATTTTAACTCAATTTTCATCTGGTTATTCGTTCAATTTTGAAAATATTTTTTGTCCACTTGAGAACAACTTGGACAAACTCACAATCAATCGTATTCGATTTACATTTTAATATAATTTAATTTTATTCGATTGAAAAGGAATTGAAATTCGATTTGAAAAATTGGTGTCCATTCAAAAATCTTCGACATCGATCTCATTTTGAATTTTGAAATCGAATTCGATTGAAATAATTCGAAACAGATTTATTTATATTCGATTTCGATTGAAAACAAAATTATTTTCGAATCAGATCAATTTTCGTTTACCAGAGAAAAAATAGATGAGAAAAAAAAATAAATACATGAAAAGATGGTGAAACATGGATCAAATCTACCGCGACTGCCCTTTTCATCAATTTTCCAATTTTCAGTGATACAGTTTCAGTTTAAACGCTTCATTCTTTTTTTGAAATGTATTTGCAAATTGTAATCATAAAAGAAAAAAATATTTACATTTATTTACTTATTTACCAATCTGCGTTATTATTATTATTATACATATAATTGTTGGTTGTTCACCTCAATCGGAAGGTTAATTTAGAATTGCTCGTGGAATTCGACTTCCTCATCTTTTGGCGAATCAATAGTGTACTTGACGACGAATGTTCTCTCGTCTCCCGGCGACAGCAGACTCGTCCATTCGAGAATATTTTCTTTTGTCAGGATTGCACCTTCTTTCGGAAGAACATCGTGACTCTCATCGCCTTCCTTTGCTGATGGACTCACCAAACGAACCTGAATATTCAAATGTTCTAAAGAATTTTTCAAAAAATCCATTAGAAACCTTGATTTTTCCATCAGTGGATCTCGGAATCTGTTCGCGGATTGTCAAAAGAATGGCATCGTCCTTCAAATTGTTCACCACGATCGTCTTTTCGGTCGCATTAACTTTCGATTTTGTGATCATTCCGACTTCTTCCTGATAGGTCTTCACCGGTTTGTACTCCACACGGATTTCAGCGTCGGATCCCAGAGAACAGAACATACGCTGGCCAACGACAGCATCATCGAGTTCGATTTTCGTCACAAAAACGCCATCGAGGAAAACGGAAGCTTGACCAGCCACCAATGGATATTCGGAAGTGTTGATTGAACGAGCAACGAGAAAAGCAACGGCGTTCTTCGACGGAACAGAAGCATACGAAAGTTTTGGTGTAAGTTCGATGATTCCGATGGTGACCTAATTGAGCAATTTTGAAATTTGGTGAATGAAACTCTCAATTGTAAAAAAAAAGATCCGAATAATTACCTTGAAATCCGTCGAATTATTCTCAATCGTCGCTTTTCTCGCAATAACGAATTCGGTGGCAATCTTGGTCTTACGAACACTCGAAGTCATTTGTCTCATTTCATTACGCATTGGCGCCGATGCCATGCACATTCTGTACATTTTCGGTGCACATCTGAAATCAATCGTGAATTATTTCCTAAAAAAAAAACCACAAATGTTTGGCGAATTACTCGAGTTGTTCGGTTGGCTGTTTGAAACGAGCCTCGAGCACTCCCAATTTCGGCAATTGAGAGCCGCCGCGCGATGGTTGAGCTGTCGAAAGAACCAATGGAACATCACTCCAGTCCTCTCCACTTTGTTGTGCTATTTTGCCATAATACGTGATCTGCATTGTGTGATCTCCAATTGTGTTCACGTGAATATCGTAATATGGCGACCAAGAAACTCCATTGACTTGATAAACGATTGTGAGGTCGATGGTAGCTCCTTCTTCTTTTCCTTCGACGATCACACTCGCGTAAGAATTGCTCGAACGGTACGGCTCCGACAGCTTTTGATAATCTTCTCGTGCTCGGCTGTACTCTTTTTCAGCTTTCTCGAGTTCAAATTGAAGCCGTCGTTTTTCTTTGCGAAGGCTGGCCGATTGTCGGGCATAGTACTCATGGAGACTGTCAACGCTTTCGACGGTATTCTTGTCGAACACAAAACCGCTCTTCTCTTTGTTCAAACCGTTTCCGACTTCTCCGACAAGTTTATCCAATACTTCGATTCTTCGGTTGACAATCGACTTTTTGTCGCTGATCTCGTCACGTCGTTCTTCTTTTTCCTTCATGACCGCTTCGACGTCAAGCACCTGAATTCATTTATTGTTCAATCCAATCTCACGATCGTCTCATTCTCACCGCTTGCGGATAGTTTTCACGCGAATTATGGAGCCATTTGACCGAAACGTCGTGGATCATTGCATCTCCTTTTCCGGTGATGCGAAGAGAATCGCCGACGAGGTTGTATGGAAGGTTCTATAACGATTCCTATTGGAAATCGAAATAAATTTCGAAATAATACCTGGATTTTGATCTCATTGAACCCTTGCGAAATCTTCAAATTCGTTTCCCTTTTGAGTTCCGCGCAGTTCGAAATCTCATTATAAATAATGGCTTGGATAATTGGCAAATTGCCGAGTTCGATGTCTTCGGTATTCGCAATATCAGACATGGCTCGATATTCTAAAAAAGGAGAAAATGAATTGATATCGAAATCAACAAAAATGGCGAATGAAATCAAAATCAATATTTGTGCCCATAAATGTCAATATTAGAGCGTAATAAAATGAAGAATTTTTTGCAAAAAAAAATTAGTGAATTGTGATTTTTTTCTCCCCCTTTTCAATCAATTTGCACTCAAAAAGGTCATAATAGAGAATGAGAAAAAATGTTTTAAAATGATGCAATGCATAAAATTGGTCAATTTATGTACAAAAATGTCTTCAAAAAATGGTGGAGGAGACCAATAGAAGACCTTTAAATAGGGCACACACTTTGAATGTGAGAAAGAGGGAAAAAGAATGGAAGGAAATTTGAGAGTGCGTTTGGTTTGACAACAAAAAAAACGAGGGGGAATAGAGAACACACGAGGAAGTATTTCGTGTGGTTTTATGAGTCATCATATTGTGAAATCTGAAAAAAAAAGAGCAATGGACAAACATAAAAATCAAGAAAAAGTGCTCATAAAATGGAAATGAGAAACATATATGTAGAGAACTTCACCAATAAACCAACATTATTTGAAAATCACAAAATTATTCTTTTATTGGAAATTTCGACTGTTCAATGATATTGAATTTAACCGGCAATTTCAAACCGATTACTCATTGCCTTTCATTTTTTTGTGAATAATTTTGTATTCAAATTGATAATTCCAATAGAATTCCGATTTTATTTATTCGACGTTTTACAATATTATATACAATTCATGCAATATTCTCAATGTTTTCTTAGGTATTGAAGAGCATGCTGAGCACCGAGACGACCAGGTGCTCCTGTGACTCCGCCGCCTGGATGAGCACCACTTCCGCATAAGAATAATGATTGGATTGGCGTCGAATAGTTGCTATATTTGGGCAATGGCCGAGTAATATATAATTGATCTAAGCCCATTGATCCATGGAATATGTTGCCGCCAGTGATTCCGAATGTTTTCTCAATGTCTGGCGGTGTCAAAATGTCATATCCAATAATACTCGATGAAAAATTCGGAGCATATGCATCAATTTCAGAGAATACTAAACATTGCGTTTCAGAATGTATGACACCTTTGTAATAGTCTTACCATGCTTGGCATACTCCTTCTTCTTCTCTTCTGTCCATTCTCCATCCGTCGGACTGTATGGAGTATATTGTGTGAACAGCAGAACCACATGACCATCTCCATCGACGAGACTCCGATCAACGGATGAAGGGATCGTCATCTCAATCACAGGCTTCCTGCTGTATCTTCCATTTCGATAATCCATGACGCCCTCGTGCACCAATTGCATACTCTCGCAATTCATATGGATTGTTGTCTGATGATGAGGCATCGGATCGGTTCCCTGATTGGGTCTCGCCACGAAATTTGGGAGCTCTTTAACCGCCACTGAAACAATACTTTTCGACCAAACTTATCGATAATTAATTACCATTGATTTTAGTAACCGGTGATGTATAATCAATCTGATTAACCGCACTGTAGAACTCGGAACTCAAATGATGTTTGGGGACCAATTGATTGAACGTGACATGTGGGGTTGCATTCGACAGAACACATTTCGCATGAAGTTCTTGTCCATTCGCGAGTCGGACTCCTTTTGCGACCCCATGCTCAATCAGAATCTCGTCGACTTCTTGGTCCGTGTACAATTCGGCTCCTCGACTTCTCGCGAAATCAGCAATCGCTTGCGAAACAGCTCCCATTCCTCCGTACACATATCCCCAAGCACCTTTGTGCTCGTCGAGTCCCCCAATCACGTGATGCAGAAGGACGTAGCCAGTTCCGGCTTCCAATGGACTTGCAGCGAATCCGATGACGCCATCCGTGCCGAGAGTTGCTTTCAGAACGTCGCTTTCAAACCATTTATTCATTATCTGCAAATATCGATTTCGAACAATGCGATTGATGAAATGAATTGTTTCGACCAATGAGATCTTACTTTTGAAATCGGAGCAGTCATAAGCTCGTAGAAATCAACAGCATTCCGAAATCCGAGAGGTTTTACTGAAATTCATGATGAAGAGACTTCGGAATGATATTGATAGACCTTACCGTGACGATAAACGAGATACAAATGAGGAATAAGTTTTCGCAATGGTTCTGAGAAGTTGAGAGGCTCATGATCCATTAAAGGCTCCATGGCTTGCACAATTTCCGATATAAAATGCTCATATTTTGGGTACATTTCGGCATCTTTTTTCGAAAATTTTGCAATCTCCTTTTGATTTTCGGTCATATCCATTCCGAGGAGCAGACTTTCGCGACTATCGCGGATTGGTGTAAACGAATTCGGATTTCGAATGTGGTATTTCAATCCATAATTCTTCAGATCCAAATCTTGAATGACAGCAGGTCGAAGGAGACTGAGCAGATACGAAGCACGGGAGAATCGAAAGCCGGGAATGATCTGCTCGGTGCACGCCGCTCCTCCGAGGATGTGTCGACGTTCGAGCACCACCACTGATTTGCCGGCTTTCGCGAGATACGCAGCCGCTGTCAGACCGTTGTGGCCGCCGCCGACAATGATCGCATCATAGAATTTGCGGTGGAAACAGCGACGACTGATTTTCCAAGACATTTGAGAAGAAAAAAGCTAAAAAAAGGAATGTTAATTTCAAAAATTTCCAAAATTTGTTATGGCAATTCTACAGATGAGTCGAATTATTAACATTGGTTATCAATTAGAAAAAGTGGCAGCGAGTGCGATAAACGCGAATGGAAAAAAAGGTGTCTCATAGGAATGAAGTGAAGAATCGAAGAACACCATAATTCTTATCAAATTCATTATAAAGACGTCGACTGCGACGATAAGATAACGATGAGCACGGATATTCAGCTCAATTTGTGAATAATCAAGAATAACATAATAGCTGTTATCGAACCTTCAAACAATTCTATTATTCCAATGAATGATAGTATACCAGCAATTACCCATAACTAATAAAAATATTGGAGTATACCAGTATGCCCACGTAGATGATAATCTGAAAAGTTCGTTTTTAAAAATATTTTGAAGACTAATAAAAAAAAATACCGAATGTTTCTAGTCTCAGGTATAATTTCGACTACCATTTCTACCAAAGCGGGATTACGGTAGCTGATCATCACTTCAATTTTAGAGTTCTTCTCGAGTTGCTCTGTTGTCAGCCGTATGATGAGATCTTCTCCATTCGGATGCTCGAATACTCGTTTTGCTTGTAGTTCGCATTCTTTGAGAGCTGCCAATTGCTCAACGGGAGCCCCGTTGAATGTATAATTCGCCGAAATGATCTCGCCGTCGCCGATGGAACGATCGATTTGAAGTCGAAATAATTTGTTGGGCGGAATTCTACAAATTGCGTATCAGTAGGCAGACACACACAATCCCAATTAAAAATAGCAATGCCTTAAAATTGTGTATGGTTCTCTTAAGACTAATGTCGAAGCATTCTCGCACAAATCGACTTCCTCAAAAGACAGAACTTCTTTCTCCGGGAGCATCTAAAAAAAGAAATGAAAAATTTAATTTTTAAATTGCAAAATTTTCTTGCTTGATCATTTCCGAACATGCATTTCGCCAATTCCCAACAATCATTTTTTTGCTTATGATTTTTGCAATCCTCCATTTCAATGAAAAATTCCTTATTTTTGATATTTAACTTTTTCATAAGCTCCGGAATTTGTTTCTGAAACAATTTCCATTTTACCTCTCTCTCTCTCTCTCGCTCTCTTCAATAGGCTTTAAAAACCTGAAATTGTTTCTTAAATTTTCCTTTTCTGGATCGCTTCGATTGTAGCGCATCGCAATTATGAGCTGTCGCAAAATGTCCGCATGCCTTTTCCGGACAACAGCACGCCGAACAGCAACTCCACGGCTCGAAATCGATGGCATTCTCAAAAACAATGATTTGCGATTGCTTTTCATTTTCGACAAAACCCCACTAATAAATCCGAATTCGCTGATATATTGATGTTTGTGACAATATCAATGTCGGATATTTTCAAATTCTTAAAAGAATCTAAAAACGAGACCAATGCGAAATTTTGAAAGCGCCTACCGTCAATACAATTTATATAATTTTTGAAAACAATAATGAAGCATATTGGTATATATTGCATAATAACTCTCATTTAGCACACGTTTAAAATTTAGAAATGACTAAAATTTGCCATATTTTATGTTAAATGAATTAAATATTTTAAATTTGTGATGGTTTTGATAGTAAATACATATGTACATTTTACTTGATTGCATTGCAATTTCAATAATGCGAGATTGGCAATCCGAATTCGAGGTTCCCTCAAATTTCAGACCCAAATAAAAATGCAACAAACTCTCTCTCGTGTGCGGCGAGGCTGCATTGTGTTGATCAACGATTCCGTAACGGATGTGTGCGTGTATAGAGGTTATTTAGCTATGAGCGACTCTTCGTTTGGCGGTCTCGGTAACGATGTCGTCGTCTCTCGACGCCGTCTACTCTCTCACGACCTACGGTATTCCCTTGTGATAGCTCGTTAACAACCCAAAACACGCTACATTGTGTGATGTCGATGCTGCTTCTTCGAGTGCCGCCGCCGCCGTCCCCCCCGGCCAAAGCTATAACGAGTTGCAATTCAGTGCGACGTCGCACCGCTTCCGGCGGCGAGGTTCCGGTGTTACCGTAGTTTGCCTGAATTTGAGACGAACTCTCATCTCTCGTCCCTCCCCCCGACATTCTTCGTTTTTTTTTTGTTGGGTAACCCAAAGCAAATTGCGCGGTCCTGGATGCGGTCCCTTGATGAAAAGTGTCGAAGATGGATGACAAGGTTCCGACCGACAATGTTGCCGTTTTTTCGCCCCCGTGAGGCCGTTTTGAAGCGTCGAGGTATGACGGACAGAATTGTTTTCGAGACGTCGGCTTCGTCGAGTTCTAGTGTTTGATTGGCAGCAGGAGCCATCGTTCCCCGTGGGGGCTCGCCATCAATCAAATATTTCGGGTATATGCGCGAAAAAATGAACCAGAAAGTGATTTCTTAGGCCGAACACTTGTCAACCAACCATTTAATAAGTTCGAATAAACTGAAAACTTGAGCAAAAATCTATTGAGAGACTGGATGAAATTTTGCAGATTGGCAAGACTTGCCAACATTCCATACTTGAATTCTTTAATGAAGCTATTGCTATTTTCTTATTTCAAATAAATTACAAATCAAAAAATATATAATTTTTAATTATAAATAATTAGCGACCCATAAATTGAATAAAATATTTGCGTAAATCGACGAAAAAAAATAGAAAATTGTTTGAGACAATTCAGTGGGGTTTGCGAACATTTTATTCTTCTGAAAACGAGAATATGCATTTTATCTTAAAAAAATATATATATTTCTACATCTGGCAGAACAAATTGATTATGTTTTTAAATTTGGGATCAAAATGACAAATTGAGAAGTGATTGCAGGCCAGGTCAGCTGGGCAGGTGCACGTCGTCTTTCAATATTTTGATGGACTAATTTAGGTCAATTTCAAAATATGAAATATCATAAAACGGTTGAAATTGACGAAAATTTTATAGAGATTTCAATTGGGCAAACAATTCTGCAAAATTCTGAAATTCGAATTGACCTGTGATCTCGGTCTGTTCTCGACAACATCCCTCAAAAATTTCGGAGTTTTTCGAATCATCATTATTCACCAAAAAATTCGCCATTTTTTTTTCATAAATTTTATGGCGCCCTTTCAAGTCAGTCGTTCCCATCTTATTCTTTCTTGACAGTATATCAATGGTCCCTATGCTCCGGTAGCGGCACCATCAAAAGCGGTCCGTCATACTCGGATGCTGTTGATGATCGCCGGGTTGTGCGGCGATGGTCCCTCGAGGCTGTGCGGTTCGTTACGGCACGCCGGTGCTTCAAAACACATTATCATCATCTGCACCACGATTCGCGATTTATTGCCAACCAGCGTGTTTCTTGTTGCTCCTCTCCCGTCCGACCACAACCCGACATTACACCTTGGGGAGCAATTTCCATATTTGGCCGCTGCACCGTTTGAAGAGCACATTTGTTTCAATTTATTGCTCCTCGCGATTCGTCCCTTCCTATGCCTTCTCTTTTTTTTGGGAGGGCTTCTGTTGCTCTTCAGCCGCCCGTGTTGAGCACGGCGAAATTGCACCAACAGATGGCGATCACCCGATATCACACCCAGGCCAACACGGGGCCCAAGTATACTGTAACCAATTGAGACAATCTGTTAATCGGTCGACAAGAGTTGTCGAACGACGGTGCCCGACAAGGTCAAGCGAGTCCAGCTGGCAGTTTCGGATCTCAAGGAGTGCGTCTCTCGTGTGTTACGAATTGACAACGAGTACTTGATATAATATGTACAAACGCATTATTTTCTGAGCGCGCGATTAGATAATCAATTTGGTTGGCTATATAAGAAAGGATGGGGGCAACAATGGATATGAATTTGGATGCCTAATTTGCATTTGAAAAGAAATGTAAATCCAAGCTAATTTCTTCATTACTCTTTTTTAAAAGACTTTTCATTTTTAGCCAAAAAGTGGAAATAAAAGAAAAAATCGCATTGAGTTTCGAGAAAATCCTGACAACCTCGAATCTCGCAATCATATATCAAAGGATCCTAATCCCTTCATAAACTTTCTTTTATTGTATACATACGTAAGTTTATTGCACTGTGCGAAGGTGTACTTGTCGAACAGTGTTAATGTTAACCTGATTGCGCAATCGGAACAGCTCTCTGGGTCTCATATTACATGCGATGGTAACGGTAATCCGTGAGCATCGGCAGACGGGCTCATCTGTTCTTTCACCAGCCTCGACCCCCTTTAATTAACACCTCGATGTAAATAGACCGGCCGACTGTCGTCAGTGTGTGTTTGTATGCACATATGGATTCGTCTAAGATCCTTTTTTGGCGCACTAGACCGGATTAGCCGTCACTCTTTGTGATGGTCCCGCCCGTGTGTCCAAAAAGCGGCACAAAAGCAACAGAAGAAGGGACAGATAGCAGCAAGTCGGGACTCATCCTTGAAATTGTATATGCATAATAAATATGCAAATTTTGAATGCGACACATCTGCTTTGCGTGTTTCTGTACATCACCTCGAACAACTTCATTAATAAATAAGAAACGAACAAAACAAGAATTGTGAAGAAGAAGACGTCGTAGGAAAACAAGTGGCCGAGACAACGGACGTCTTGTTGCTCGGATACGGTGGCGATTAAAAAATGAATTCGAATCCACACCAAAAATGTCTCTTCGGAGGCCGATTGGTGGCCCGACTATTTGCACTATTAACAGCTCACTACCTTCATACCAAGTTGGTAGAGTCCATAGATTCATCGCATTCGCGATTTTCAGCCAAATGTGTTCATTTGCGATCCGGGATCGTCTTGCTGCCGAAATCGTGGGAATCCAGCATGCTGTCAGAATGATGTTACCGCGAGACAAGTGTATGTTTTAGAAGAATCGTAATAAGGCATATCATGGTCCCTCAAACAAATCAAATGTTCTCCTGCACACGGCAATCATTCAAATTCAAGCATATTGCTGCTAATCGTCTTAGTATCTCCGATTGCAATTAGTCAACGCTCGCCAGTCGGTGATAGATCGTATTTCTTGGTAGCATCTGTACATGCGAATTCGTTTATTCGTCGCCCCCCCCCCCATCACATATTTCGACGATTAGGTAACATAAACATTCGAGAACGACACCGTCTGTGCACAAATTACGACTAATAATCGTCGAGTGTCTCGAATAAACTAATAAATAAGACATTTGGGTGGCGACGACGAGCAAAAATGATTTCAGATTGGAGCAGCTCATCCCGTTCATCATTATGTATGCGATTATCTTCATAACAGCATACATGGTATATTTGTTCTTTTCCGATGATGAGACCAACAGCTCGACGCAATCGCAAACATCTGGATTCCGAGCCGTCGAGTAATGATTTTCAGATGTTGCGACGAGAAATGGCAAACAATTTTCAGCATAATCTTTCCAACTCCTGATGATTACACTGTCGAAGATCCCGTATTTGGCAAGCTCTATTCATCGAAAGCACCTAAATTGGCCACCGTTTACCAAAATGATCAGCAAATGCGACAAAGGAAACAGGAGAAATGAGGAATCGAATAAAGTGTTTTCCGTGTTACACCTGTCTGTCCCCGTGTCGGTTTTGCCGAAAAAGAGCCGCGATGGTGCTCAAGTGCGCCAAAACGGTGCACACAATATTGCATAAAACGACATAATGAGATTAACGCGGAGCTTGATTAAAGGGCGGGCTTCTGTCGACAAAAGCGCAATGTATCCAACTCAAGTGGTCCCTTTCTCACTTATTTCGAATTGGATTGTCGTGCAGCGCATAACTGTCATCATCATCACAATAAATGTATGATCTCGTTGGCTCATCCTCGTTTTGTCTCTGTCGCCCTCCGCGTTTCGCGTGCTATTCGCCCGATTTCGTATGCATGGACACCTTAAATATTCATGCGATCCACCTTTTGAAGAGCCCCGATTTTTTTGATCGATCGATTTTTTTTCTCCTTTAGTCGGCGGCATTGTTCGCAACAATTCGAAAGGATGCGCCAGACGGTGTGCACCTGGTCGAAAAGGATTAGGCTCGGATTTTGTTGGTCAACCGCCTCAAGGACGAAAGCCGAGAACACGCACACGGGAGGAGGCGAAAAGTCAAGAGGATTACGGTAAAGTGGCTGCTCTCCGCTGGTTGTTAGTGATGGCAGCTGAATGGCGGCGACGCTTTGAATTGCGGCTTTTAAGGCGATTTGAAAAATGAGGTGCAGACGCTATTAAGCGATGAATCTGCGGACATTTCACGGGGGGAAAAATTGCTTGATTTGACAATATCCCTCGCCGACCAATATTTCGCGACTGGATGGTCATCTCCGGTACCTTCCGTCCGTCCCCACCACCATTTATGGATATATGACCGATGCGCACCTTGTGTCACGAAATGTCTCAAATTTTAAAAGCGCCTTGCGTCACACCCTAATAAAATCTCAATCGAAACTTGCTCGCTGAAATGTGAGCCGAAACGACAGACAGTGGGCTTCATTGGGGCTTCAACAGAAGCAGAATAAAGAGACGCGAACCGCCCACCAGTTTTTCCCCAATTTTTTCTGTTTTGTTGTTTCTCCCGCTTTTCGATTTTTCATTTTGCCAAAAAAACTTTTTTCTTCTTCGCGCGAATCCCTGACTTGTTGTGTTGTCCGATTTTCGGGCACACGACGTCTAATTAGGTCCCCGGGTTTCACCCTAATCAAATATGTCCGCCAGACGACACACCGCCGTGAAATCGCGCAATAAAGGTGTTTAGCGGCAATAAAGCGAGTCCGATGGAGACCTGCGACCCGACGGCGCATCTGGCGCCGAGATGAGCCCCCCGTTCTCTTTGTCGTACGGGCCAGATGTTGCGAATAAGATGTTGCGAAAAATATTGAACGACAAGGTCAGCGATTCTACCTATACGCGCTGTTGTTGCGAAACGAAGCGGTCGAAGCTAAATCGACAAGACCCCCCCCCTTCAAAATGTACAACGAGAAGCCGATTATGGCGGCTGGTGTTGGTGTTGTTATTATTAGCGCAGTTTTCGACGCATAATGGTCCGATCGAACATCCTCGAGAGTGTTGCAAATCAATCAAGCGCTGATCTGTTTTTGTGGTTTGCGACCGCCGGGGTGCCAGATGGATAAACGTTTCGACAAGTCATATGGTCGCGCGCATCATTTGATGTTGCTATCTCGTACCGAGACGAAGCGTCGATGCGTTCGACGGGGGCAGTCGAACTCTGATTCGCTGCGATCCCCCGAACTGTGTTGACTCGCACTGTATCACTTCCTCCCGCGAGCCTCGTTGACTAATTAAGTGTGTAGCCCGAATGACACCGTAATTAGTGGATGGAATTCAAATCAATTGCCTTCCTCAAATCATCATTCTTGTTCTCCATGCGATTTTCACGCGCCAATTCCGGTGGCTCGTCAACAGCCATCACAATAAATCTCATTTTTGGCACATTGGAAATTTGATAAATTGCGTTGAGCAGTTGCACCTAACACACACACCGTCTCAAATCCCGCGGGATATCCTAACGAAAGGTTACGAAGTCGACGTCAGCCGTACAACTAGTAGAAAATCTGATAAATGGGCTGGAAGCAAGCATCATTAGTGGCATGTGACGCCTTAATTTGGGGGACGGCGACGAGAGCGCGAAGAGCGGAGCGGACGGGTTGGACACCAGCAAATTGCTCATCATTCAGATAGCCATGTACAGATATAGAGGCTTCGAATAACTATGCCTAATTAGGAATTTATGAAGCGATGCGGATCGAGAAGAAGATAGGCGTTGAGATAGGATTTTTTTTTTCAAAATCGTGTGCATCTGCCCCTCCAAATAAATATATCGTCCGCCTATTTTTTTTGCCGTCGCGCCACTGCAGGTGTTTGCATGCAGACTCTGACAACCTTGAAATTGTCATTCTCGATGATACTAAAACAACAAGAAAAATGAGGCAATATATTGGCACCCTCATTTCGATAGGTGGCTCTTCAAAATGTTGACATTCGAGGTTGTTGCAAGCTGCCATCATCAGCAATAGTGGCATCTGCGCCGCCGCCACACATATCTATACAAATGTGAGTGCGTCAACACGTCGCGTTCGTGGTGTAATGGTCAGCATGGATGCCTTCCAAGCATTCGACGGGGGTTCGATTCCCCCCGAACGCATCGACTATTTTTTTCGTCTTGTCGCTTTTGTTTTCGCCATTTGCTAGCGGGTTCTAGACGACACAAAAAAGAAACGACATCTCACTTCTCATGCCCTATGCATGTGTATGTGCATTACCTTGCTCAGGATGCTCCATAAAATCTCATTTGTGCCTTCTCCTTGCTTCTCGCATTTCTTTCGCGCAGCGCCTTTTTTTTGGAACATTATATCACTGAGGTCCCCATTTTTTGTGCTTTTTCGTTCACACACACACACACAAGCATACGCATTTTCGTTGTTTTTCTAACAGACACTCAGTCGCTTCCCTATTCCGACTCCCGCCCATGTGTTTATTCGTCAAGGTATTAGCGATTGTATAAACTGACTGACGGGCTGAAGGCGTCCAATAATAAACACCCACCGGAGAGCACGGGCCTTCTGGATTTTTATTGTCTTGAGCTCTCCTCCTTTCACCCACTTGAGCACACATACCAATTATTCGAGTTGCACAACTTTTTCGGGTTGCTGAAAAGCTGCCGACAAGTGGATTAGTAGCTGTTAACACCTGTCATCGAGCACTTGACTTGAATTTTCTGACAAAATGCCATTGTTAACCTAAAAAGACCCGACGTTCTGCGTCCCTAACCAAGCAATTATTATAGATATTTGCGTTTCACATCCGCATATTTTTTTTGTCGTTGGTGCTAAAATAGCCAGGTTGGCATAAGTTTTGATTTTCTCGAAAATATGTTGTTTGAAACAACCAAGAGCACATCAAATATGAGTAGAAATAGATAAACTTTCAGAAGATTTATTGGGAATCTCAAAAATGGTGGGGTACACACGACACTCCACATTTACGTGGGCTTAGCATTTAGCAATTGCAAAACCCAGCGAGAAAATTCTCAGTTTGTCGATGTGTCATCGAATCGAAGATTCAGAATCCCTTTGAAGCCTGTTGCTCTCTTACCGTAACCCCATAGGTGCAGAAATGGAAAGGTGGTTGGCTCACGTCTTCTTCTCCATATAAAACGCCATCATCTTCATCTCCTGTTCCTCATTCTTCCTTCATCTCAAATTTCAGTGATGCGTCGAAGCGCGCCATCATCGCCGCACAGCGCACCATCATTTTCTCGCTCTCCTCTTGTTTCATTGGGACGACGTCGTCGTCTTCTCGTTCTCCTCAAAATTTCACCTAATTTCCTGTCCCCACGCGTCTTGATTGCCCCCTCAAGTAGGTAAGACGATACAGAGCGAATGTGCAATTTTGGCGATGTCTTGCCTGATGATGATGATGATGATGATGATGAGCCGAACAATCGAGCCAACCCGAACGAGTGCCTCAATTGATGAATGACAGCAGACGGTTGGTATTAAGAGTGACTAATTGGAGCTCGCTGAGCCCAGGTGCCTGTAACTAACTCAATTAGCCCTCCTGTTTCGCACTTGCGCGCTCGGCCCCGATGCCCCCCGTAGCTCAATTCCTCCCGTCACCGGACAACCCGGTATGAAATATCTGCATAAACAGTTGTCTGTGTGGAAATCGAATAAAATATGAAATCACCTAGCAGCTGCACACATCGCTCCTTTCTTTCTCACCACAAAATTTGATTTGAAATGAAATGGGCACGAAGGCAGGCAGGACCGAAAAAAACACACACCAGAGAGACACACGAAGTGGCTTCGAAACAGGTGTCTCACCGTAGTTGGACGACCACTATTGATCAAAATTCGATTCTTCTCATCGACAGTCAAACTCGTCACAAATCGATGACAGTTTTTGCTATAATGAAACGCCACAAAATTGGAAACGTTCTCGAAAAAATGGTAGATCAAAAAAAAGAGAGAGTGAGAGAATTCTAAACAAATCCCCCCAATTTCAATTTCTGTTTGCCCATTCTTCGTCATTTTTGAAAGAAAAAAAACGAAATGAGAATCTTGAAATGAAACCTATGCGAACATTCCCCAACGTTTTGTTTTACACTAAATCGAACGCGGTCGCCCTGTTGGAGCGTCGTTGGACACAATTGCTGGTTCAGAATTCTCTCTCATTTTCCACATTTTTCAGCATTAAATGATCCCAACGAACTCGTCATTTCGACCACTACAGTATCCCTTTATATTCAATACGTGTGCATTCACTTTTATCTCGTCAACTCATTGCACTGCAATATAATGAATACGGCTGCCCATCAACACTCCACCGACGAACAAGAAGACGAAAGAGCCGCAGAACCAGTAAAAAAAAAACATAGAATCTCCCATTTGACAGAATAGGATTTCGCACACGATAAAAACCGACGCTCTCTCTCGCTCCCACTCCTATTAAGCTCCTAATGAGGCGCACAAGCAATATCCATTTAGGAGAAGTGGCGAATGAGCCGTCGGGGGCTCGTCGTCGCCGCGGTTCAAAAAAGGTGAAACGGGCCATAATTTTGATTGCATGTGCTTCGGAAATGGTGCCAGAAGCGGTTTTGTTGCAACACCGCCAACGCGCAATATCGCCCGACATAACGAGCTCGACGCAATGAACGTCGTGTGGAGGCATTAGGCGACTAGACGAAGAGGATAATTTGATCTACCTGCGGCACTCGTCTTTGTCTCATTAGCAGGCTTCCTCCATCCGTCCGTCTCATCCAATTATATACTTATTTGATGCACCACCACCATCACGTTCTGATGCCGCTCTTTTTCGTCTCGCGCGTACCACCGAAACGAAAAATTGTGTTGTTGTAGAGAGTTTGTTTCATTCGAAATTCATGCCAATACTGACGAGATGAGCCCCTTTTCTAGCACACCGGAGCCCCCCACCATTTGAATGTCTTTTCGACGCCAGGCCAGGCCAAGCCAGGCCACCCTCCCTCGCCGACCACGCCTCCTATATACATAATGCATTCCGAGTCATTCCTCGCCAACCCCCCTCCTTATGGTCCCGCAGTTTCATTGTCAAAAGTACATATTCGCGAGGCGATCAACAATTTTCTCAAATTTAAGCAATTCCTCCCAATTCGTAATGTGGCAGCCAAACAAAAAATGACGAAGCTTCGTTGCCTCGTTTTAATCGATACGTAATCACCAGGCAAAACGCAAAAAAAAAACGTTTCGCATTAAAACCGAAATGTCCCGTAAAAGGTAATTGGTCTGAGAATGTCCGACATCTCATAATAATATGAATATCACTTCGCTCGGCCTTTTCATCATTCACCACACTTCTCATTTCCGCTACAGGTGACAGCGAGAGAGAGAGAGAGAGAGAGAGAGAGAGAGAGAGAGAGAGAGAGAGAGAGAGAGAGAGAGAGAGGAAGAGTTTCTGTAGTTTTTTTTCGGTGGCTCGCCTGTGCAGACCAGCTACGAAATGAGTCATCACGTAGTTTTTGATACAATCTGTTCCGTTGGCCCATTAATTATTTGATATATAAACATTCTCACCTCTATTTTTCTTGTTTCCTCATTTTCTGTGTCTTCAAATGATAATTGTTTCAAGAATCCTAAAATCCTCCTAAGGCATTCTTGAATAGTCTGAATGCGTTTTCCTACTGATTCCACCAAAATTCCATATCGTCGTCAAGGTGTTTTCCAACTTCCTGCATTTTCGCCTTCAAACCGTATATGGAGAACATATGCGAATTGAAATAAAAACATGTTCGCAAAACCAAATAGACAGGCATATCTGATTAGGTAAGCCGCTCTCGAATCATTCGTTTAGCCGGGGGCCGTCTCGGCGAAAAGTGAAAGGCCGCTTTCTGGATACCAACAAGTTCTTCATCTCATCAAAACCCATACCAATCTCTCTCTCATTTCCTCTCCATTTTTGTGTCGTTTTTTTTGTTTTTCGAAAACGTCGGCCGCAAGGAGACGGAGGAGAAGCGATTTGATCTCGCCTGGTATACAGGTTTACCAGAGATTACCATTCTTTCGCTGTGTCTCACACCCATATACGGTATGATCGAGAAGCTTGAGGGTGGAGTCCAGATAAACGTGTATATCCTGGCTGGCGGAAGGCGAAGAAGGAGACGATATTTGTCGCGTCCACGGGACGACAAAAAACGAACCAATTCATTACTAACTATTCGTTTCAAATGTGTTTGCTTTCGATTTTTCTTGCTGGTCGTGCTTCGCCGAATCGGTGGTGCCTCTTGGGTATAATTTGGCGGAAAGGATGAAGGTGTTTTGGTGGCAACAATTTCGCCCTTTTTTGGCATCCGCCCAAAAGAAGCGAGCTTTGTTGAACCACCAAAACATTTTCTGTTTTTACTATTCCAAAGCTGAATCGCAAACCGTTTGTGGCGATTTACTGAGTGAAGCAAATACGCTCTAGGGCTAATTTCAGATTTCTTGACTTTTCAAGCGCTACTTTCAAATATTGAGCATTTTTTTTGTCAAAGTCTTCTTTTAAAACTCATTCAAAACCGCAATCAACCTAGAAAATTATTGAGGAATGCCGAGTAATTCGAGAATTTCTCGCCGAAAACAAGCATTCTGTTCCAGCTGATGAGATCCACCAAAAAATATATCAAAATGCATTAATAGTGTTGACCATTTTTTGAAGTCTCTTCACCGCCAACGCTCTTCGTTGTTTTTGATATGATGCGCTTGAGTCGTTCCGTGAGAAAAGAGATACCGCGCATTTTAAATCGTGCTTCATCTCGCTGCCCGGCGCGGCCCGCCGTGCTCGTTTTTGTACCTCGAAACGCAAAAACAAAAACCAACATATATACACACTTAAATAATTCAAAGAGTAATAAAATTTAATAAGAGACGCTGCGGGTTTTCTCTTTCTCTCGTTGAAAATGCGCCAAAATGAAAAACATGTGTGTGTGTGTGTGCGAGAGCTTCGAGATCATTTCGCAAAGGTTTCGTGTCGTCCAATCATTTCCTAGTTTAAGGTGTGTTTTCGACTACGGTAGGTGTCTCGTAAAAACGCCAAGTTTTTAAGTATCGTCTGAGAGAAGAATGAGGCCGTAAATATTTTCGAGCTTCATCCTGCAATTTCTAAGCTTCTAGACAAACTTTACAGAACCAATTCTAAGAGACTCAATATAGTACGCATATTTGAATTAGATGAAAACCCCAAAAAAATTCTATTCGGATAGGTAATTTTCAATTTTCGGATCTCCAGAGATTCGATCTTTTTTTTTTGATTCTCCGTGTTCCACCAATCAATCTCTTCGAACGAAGAGCCAATGGATTGGAAGTCGCCGAGGAAAAAAAATTTTGGTGGAAGGAAGTGGGTGGAGAGCTCTAGGCAAAATCTTGAGACACCCATAAATGGGGCGTGGCCAACTTCTTCCAAAATCGGGCGTCGCCGCTCCACCGCGGAGAGCCTCACCATTGCCATCTAAACGAGGGCCACATATACATACACGCGCGCACGCAGCACATCTGCTCATCTCGTTGCGCCGCCTTCTTTTGGCCACGTCTACAGTAGTCGAATAGGTACAAGAGCGAATAGTGGGCGGAGCGCCCGATGGTGTCCCGGGTCTCTGGGAGATTGTTTAGTCGTCGTGTGGTGCAGGTGTGAGAGCTGGCAGGCATTCGACTTCGGCCGCCGACGAGTGCACAGAAATGTGCTCTCGGCGGCGGCCGAGCCCGAGGCTGAGGCTACTTCGCCTTCTCTCCTTTTTTCCATCTTCATCGTTCAGCCGTGAGCCATAGACACATACACACCGCCTCTAGGTGTGCCCATCTTCCTTCATTTGGCACCTTCTCTCACGTTTTTTCCTCACCGCTCGTCCCGTTTTCCATTCTGCCCCCCCCCCCGTCGTTTTTTTTTAACCTACCTATACAAGAATTTGTGCTCGCCTCTTCTAGGATTCTTGAAAATTAGTGGTCCATTGTTATTGAAGCACCCGCCCAACAATTTTGATTAAGAGGACCCATCGCCTTATTTTTTTTTTCAAAAAAAAAAAGAAAGAAAGAAAGATTCTCTGTTTTGAAAAGATTGCGAGAAACTCAAGATTTTATTTTTCCGCTTATAAATAAACAAAAACGCGAAAATTTGAATTCCGTTTATTTTTACCTTACCTTTTTCATATTCAATTCAAGGTTTTTCGGCGCTCCTTTTTCTTCTTTTCAAATCTGTCGCTTATATCTCAAAAATTCCCCAAGGATGTTCCCTCTTTTTCTCTCTCTCTCTCTCTCGTATTTTTTTTTTGTCGTTTCAAGATTTATTCGATCGAATTTAATTGTATTAATCAATTTTTCATTTTCAGGCGTTCTCCACAACGATGATGGAAATCGCCGAAGCGACGACGACGCCGCTCGTCTCGACGCCATCGTCGGCGGCCGTCGCCGCGGCGCATTCCGACGAGGCGCTTCGCAAATTCAAATGCCCAGAATGCGGTAAAGCGTTCAAATTCAAGCACCATCTCAAGGAGCACATTCGAATTCATTCCGGCGAAAAACCATTCGAGGTAAGACATTGCGCGCGTTTCGATTCAATCCGATGTTAATTAAAACTCCCCCACCTCCGACTTGTGGTTTGTTTGGGCGGCACCTGTCGCACGGTGATAATACACTTGTGCTTTGCCGATGCACACCTCGGCAATTTATCAATGTCGACATGACAGCTCCCTACCTTGCTACCTGGCTTCGATTAGTTGTAACATTAGCGATCAAGAGGCGCTCTCTTTGAAAATTCAAAAAAAAAATAAACGCGAGAATTATTTATCTTGATTGCCAGAAGAATTGAACGATCAATTCAAAAACGAATCGGCAATGATTTTTTATGATTGATGATACTTATAAAATCTAATTTATCAAACTAGCAATTTCCAAAATACAGTGAAAAAAGTCACGTTAGACGAGCATTATTTCTCATAATTTTTTCTAACCTTTAATCATGAACTTCAAAGTCTTCGCAATTATTTTCCGCTTACCCCCATTTATACTTCTAGCAATTACGCTTTTGCGCTATATTAGCGTCTTTTTTCGTAATAAAGAATATAAATTTTTTAATATGAATATAGCCGTTTGACTTGTGAGAGCCAGACAGAATATGCATTATTTAATTTCTGCAAAAATGTCCTGAATCCAAAACATGTCCATTCGACTCTACGTCTCTAACCATCAGCGCACTTCTTTTTTCGAACAACTCTAAAATTGATGGGACGACTTGTTTCACAATTGTTTTGCGAAATTCCTTAAAGTTATGAAAGATTTGCAAAAAATGCTCAATCGCAATCGGCGGTGGCTCGCCGGCAGACCCGCGGCAGAGCAACACCTTCTAGTGGGCGTGGCATGGCAACCAGGTGAACCAATGAGCATCGCCGGCAAGCCACTCATAAATTCATACCTGCGGTCGCCGGCGGGCAGAGAGCGCTCTTTCTGACCCACCGTAGCCACCAGCCAACACAATTTTCTCACACGGCGCTTTAAGCGTTTTTCGCCTCACGTGGGATTATGAATATACAACCTGGGCAGAAGGAAAGGAGAAGCTCAAGAAGCGAAAATAGAATGCGTTTCGATGAGCGCGCAGAGCAACTAGTCGCGACTCTCGTCCATCTGCTGCTTCTTTTCTGTTTCTTCGTTCCGAGATGGCAAAGGAGGGAAGGGAATTAATGAATGCCTGGCGGGCATCTACACTTTTGAGCACCACCTATATATGAGTGTGTGTGTGTGTGGAGGATGTTGTCATTTTGGGTCCGTCCGTCGGGTCCTATAAACAACCGATTGGTATCTGGCAAAAGATTTATGGATGAAGAGTGATTAGTCGGAACGGGAAAAAAACGAACATGATTTCAGTGCCAGCAATGCCACAAAAGATTCTCGCATTCCGGATCCTATTCGTCCCATATGAGCAGCAAGAAATGTGTTCAACAGGTAACATCATTTATAAAATAAAAAGAAATATACATATAGAATAATTTTCCATTGAAGAGCTCGCCGACTCTGGTTCCTCAATTCAACCCATACCAATTGATGATGTACCGTAATATTATGCTTCAATTGCAAACTCCGCAATTCCCGATTCCATCATTGAACCCTGTGGATACGTCGAACACCTATTTCAACCTTCTGCAACAAGCGAATCTTCTCCAAAACATTGAGAATCCACCGTCGGCCGCAGTTTCGCCGAACACACTTCTTGCTAATTACATGAATAACTCAAACTCGACGACAACAACAACAGCTAATGTTGCCGAGGAGTCGAGGAATGAGTCGCCGGTAAGCTCGACGGTGACCGAAGAGCCGAAAAGTGAGGAGAAGCCGTCGCCGGTGCATGCGACGCCATCCGAAGAAGGATCGCAAGATGGGAAAAGCTCGCCGGACTGGAGGCCGCTGAGATCAAGAAGCTTCTTGAACGATAGTCAGGTTGGAGATTCGCCGAAATTAGAAGAAGTGTTTAGTGCTCAAATTTGCAGGTGGCCATCCTTCAGAACCACTTCAAACGCAATCCGTTTCCCTCAAAATACGAGCTTTCGGCGGTCGCTGAGCAGATCGGTGTCAACAAGCGTGTCGTTCAGGTTGGTTTCGTTTTGCGCCATCATTTTTCCATTTTTCCCAGGACCACAAAAAACATTGTTCGGAAGAGGGGGGGGGAGAGGGGGTGGTGGTCCTGCTCGTAAGATAATGCTCATAAACCGACAAGAAATATTGTCGAATTTCGACCCTCCGCGTTTCGTTCAACTATTTCGTCGAATCGCCTAGGCCGCAGGTGCCATCATTCTGAATTGAACGACAAGGAGGGGAAAGTGAACAAGGCGTCGCATAGATTTATTTCTATTTGTATATGTCTGTGTCGATAGGCTCATTTGATTAGGTAGAGACAAAGAACCTCATCGGTCGGTTTACCGCATTTATTTCGGAATTGATGTGTGGGGGAATGGAGAGAAAACAAATCGAAAAATAAGAATTCGGAAATATCTGAAAAGGCAATCAAAATAAATAACATTTATTAAAATTCTTTTTAAAAATAAAATTTTTTTCCACTTATTTTAGCGTAATAACGAAACTCCTTATTTACGCATGGCACGTGTTTTAGCGTAAATAATTTCAGTCTATTTTCTTACAATTATCACTGTTTTTCTTTTAAATACTAAATTAGTTTCTATAAAAAACAACTTATTCATTTTTCAGGTATGGTTCCAGAACACTCGAGCCAAGGAACGTCGCAGCAACCGTCTCCCATCTATGCCACGGGGGAGTCTTGCAGCTTCACCAGCTTGGTCGCCGAGTTTGGCTCTTCCACAGTCTCCAGCGCAACTAATGGCTGCGTGGGCTCAACAATGTCTACAGAATGGAGCGATGAGCTCACAGGTATGTATAGTGGTGAACAGTTGGCGTAATTGGGTGCAATTTTCGCGCATTATGTGCACGTCTGGCAACTAATAATTATATAGTTAGTGAAGGGCTATGATGAGCACATGCACGCCCAGGTGAACAATAAATCATGCGATCCATCAAATATCATTGGCCAGCTAGCTGTCTCCGAAGGCAGTAAAACTGGCCTAATTTAACACCTGCTCCTCGCCGCTTCCTCCTGCTCATTGTTTTGCACTTCCATCTCCCATTCATATATTAATTGATTACGCTGAAACGCATCGCGAATAATAGGGCAACTTTGGTCGTTCATTCCTACTGCCCACTATTGCCTAACAACACCTTCTTCTCCAACATGAAAAAAAAGCGCGCGCAAGAATTGGGTTCGTTCGGCAATTATGTTTTGCGCAGCATCTGTCTCATTCCCATAATAGGATGATACTACTAACTAAATGAGGCTGCCACCATCATCCTCACACCACCTGAGCCTTTTCAAGATGTTGCGGAACGGGAAACGAGGCGACAGATGGATGGCTAAAGGAGAATGAGGGGGAGGGTGAAGAAGAGGAATAAGAGCTCGAGAATTGTTGCCAAATAAGCGACGGGGACGAAATGAAAATAACCTTTCTAATATTTGGAAGGGGTTTTGTTGTATTTGCAAAAAATAAAACGGTCAAGATATTTTAGAATCTGCAATCTGAAAAATTTTCTTCAACTAATATCAACATTTTTTAAAAGCAGTCTATACACTTGTCTAGAATATTTCTAATTACCTTCCACTCAATGTATTCAATTCCTTTATTGGCATCGTCTCATTCGCCCGTTTCCCATCCATTTTTTTCATTTGGTTTAGTCGGTGTCGCGGTGAAAATTTGAATATTCACCACCTTCTGCCTAATATATCTATTCTGATCCGGACGAATTCAAGTGTTTTCGCGCCACCTGCTAATGAGCTTCTTTGTCCTGACACGTCGCGCGCTGAATAAGAAATGAAACGAAAAAAGGACCGAAAAATTACTCAATCGCGCGTATTCAACACACTCTCTCATTCTCCAATTCTTCCTCAAAAATGACATTGAAAATTTTAATTTTTTCTCTCTCTCTTCAGGATGAATCCTCAAAAGATGACGACCGGGATGAGGGTAATCAAACGCCTTTGGACTTGACGATCAAAGAGGAAGAACCCGCTGAGCCAGAATGGAGCCCCGAAAAGCTTGTGGGATTCTTGGACCAGAGCAGCGTTGTTCTGCAAGAGCTTCTAAAGCAGGCGGGAAACGGGTTCTTCTCAAATCAGGATGAAGAGGAAGAAGAGAAGAAAACGACTCCAGCAACTACAACGACGACGTCATCTATATGGCCGACAGTTTTCAACTACACGACTATGCTCCAGCAAAAGTCTCCAGAAGATGATGCCTCTTCCCTCTGCTCAAATGATTCCAAAGTGAAGACTCCAGTCAAAGAAGAGGAAGGCTTGTTCACCTGCGATCAATGCGACAAGGTGTTCGGAAAACAGAGTTCATTGGCGCGCCACAAATATGAGCATTCCGGTAAGAATTATGAATATTTTGTTTGCTAACATTGCGGGTGTGTGCGCTCGCCCGTCTGGTGTTGAATGATGCAATCGTATTAATTGGATTACCGGGCGGGCAGGACACTTAATTGGACACGGGGGTCGAGCAGATGATACAACAAAATTTGTCGAAATCTCTTTTGCAAATTGATGCCATTTTCAGGACAACGTCCCTACAAATGCGATATCTGCGAGAAGGCTTTCAAGCACAAACATCATCTGACTGAGCACAAAAGGCTTCATTCTGGCGAAAAACCGTTCCAGGTATTTTTTGGAACACATTTTGCAAATCTCCACTTTTTTTTAAATCGAACCTAACGAATCGTAATTTCAGTGCGACAAATGTCTCAAGCGTTTCTCACATTCGGGTAGCTACAGTCAACACATGAATCATCGATATAGTTACTGCAAGCCATATTTGGAGTCATCCAGCCAAACGGCAACCCCAACCAAGACGAACGGATCTGTATCTCCAACTATTTCGACATCTCCATCTACAACCCCGACGCCTTCATCATAACATCCATATTTGCCATTTTGTCAGTCTTTGTGATACGAATTGCGTTAGAGTATTCACTTGATCATCACTGATCTCTCGATTTTTTTTTAATTATGTTTCCTTTAATATTCAGCTATGCTGATTTCTTGCCTATGTATTTTTCGATTGCCTCACAGTATTGGTGCTTAACATTTTTCCTACGCTCAACTTAATTTCTGAATAGTTGTATTTCGCAGCTTATTGGTGCTATGCAATGTACAGACCCCGCCTCATCCATTCGGAAATTCTTCCCCACATCACCAACTTAGTCATGAATATTTTCTATTCTTTCCTTTTACTTATTTCAGGCCGGTGCCGTGCAATTTTGTTCCTATGAAACATGCTTATGCTTTTATTATTTTCCTTATTAGTATTTTTCACGCAATTCGCCCCACACTAGTCGTTTTCTATGTGCATTTTAACTTGTTTTGTTGGACCAACTAACGTTTTTCGTGTAAGGTATTCGATTCTCCAATGTTTTCATTCTTTCACCGTTTTTTCATAATTATAATAAGACGATTTACAGAAATGTTCGATGCATTCTTAAAATCTCTAAACCAGTTGCAAACTGTTGTATTTGGAACTGGAATTTCAACAATTCTTTAACGGAAACAGATCAGAACCATTGTTCGGTCAATTTCGGAACCTGAGACGAAAACCGATTAGTCATTTTGTGGCGCGCAAATTGAATAACAAATGATTGCGAATGAATCGCATCCATCTTGCGACGCCTAGAAAAATATGCAAAACGAATAGGACGAAGAAGACGAAGAAGAAGATCTCGGCAAGATTAGGTGTTAGCGACATATGGCGGCGGATTGATGGATCGCTGCCGCTGAGAACGAAGGAGTTACGCGAATTTCACGGCTCATTGCAGCAGGTTTGTCACACACAGACACACATGCACGCACGAGCATTTTATTCAATTTTGAGGTGTGTCCTCCGTGCACATTCAATAATAGAGTCGCTAAACACAAACAAAACCAAATCACAACTTTGTCGTTATTGTCTTTGGCTCATCGACGAGGGGTCCGTTGTCGACTATTGTCCATGTTAGGATTTGGCACATGATCGTCAATTTTTCTGCAAATTTCCTTATTTGACATTTTGGCTAAAATTTAAAGAATACCATCAATGTAATGCAATATGCTAACTCGACTTGAAACAATTTTAACAAAAAAATAAACAAGTATTCCTAAAGCGAACATTCCGAAGCCGATAATTGAGGTCAGCGGATCTTGTTGAATTGGAATTATAAGTAGAGCAATGTTGATCACGACGTTTAACATAGGCCAGAACATATGAAACTAAATAATAAATTTTAATCAAGGAAGCTATAAATCACTCACTTTGACTGGATTCGGCGCGATTTCCCAATCCATCCATTTTATGAGAATTAAAGCGAACAATGAGAATATTGTCGACATTATACCCGTAACTGTTAGATAATCGACTAATTGATCAGTGTTACCAAGAAATGCAAAAATAATTGCGGTGAATGTCTGGAAAATTATTTTCTTCCCTCGAAATTTCGAAAAAGTAAATTCGTTTGAGTTTACATGGAAAAACACTGAAACTCTCGGACTATCGTTGTCAACGTGAATCAAGCTGAAGCATGTTGGCATCATGTTTCTTCTAGATCCAGCCACCATATATCTAAACCTCATTTAAACATTTATTCAACACGAATCCCTTTCAAATTACCTACTCCAACCAAAAACATCGCCATTTAGAGTTCCGATTAGTAGAAATCCTACAACGGCGGGGACTACTAATGCCGCATCATCGCCAAGAGTTTTTTGGATAAATGTCTAAATTTGGAAGTCGTCTATGCAGTAAAATAAGCCAGTAATTGTATTACTGTTGCCACAGCCGAGGATGCTATAATTTGATCGGGAGTTAGAATGGCAAAATATGCAACGTTCACAAGAATGTAGATCAAAGCTGAAATGCACAAACCGCCTAAAACAGCTCTTGGGAGAGTCCTAAACAATAGAGAAATTTTTCAATATCATCAAAGATCCCCCAAACTTTCTAAAATTTTTGATTTGAATCTCTTCAGTCCCATAATTAAGTGTTGTGTATCCTCCAAACGCCCAGTTTCCTTGATAAATCGCCAACACAATCGCGCCCGGATTGTAATCGCTTCCTTTCATTATCTCATCTTTTTGATAATGCGCGGTCCTGTCGCGAAAAATCATAAAAAACGCGCCGATTCCAATAATGCATGTGGTGGCGACAATTTTCGACATCATCGAAATGATTTGCACTTTCGCGGCGAATTTGTTCAATGAGAACATATTGGTCAGCGTGAGAACCACTGTAATCAGGAATCTGATAAATTGATTATGTAATCAATGAGCAATATTACATAAGAGTACGAAGCCGAATAACTTTGCAGCATAGTCCCGTTGAGATGAGTCGAAACAGACAATTGGATCGAGGGCTTGGACTATATAATCTCCAAATGTTAAATATAAAACGGCCGCAGATGAAGAGCTAAAAGGGTTTTTTTATTTCAACGATTTCGAATATTGCATTTTCGTTTTACTAGAATGTCAGAAATATTCGCCTCAACTGTATTTTTATAATATTTAGAGTTTTTAATATTTATAATATTTGTAATCATAATTTTTAAAAATTAATTACGAACCTTTGTATTAAAATGGAAAGCCATAAAAATGAGAAGGCAATCGGAGTCCATCCCATATAATCAATATACGCCAAATCAGCGCCACTTTCCGGAATACTCGTACCAAGTTCAATATAATTCTGGGTACTTTCACATGTTTTTCATCCATTGAAAAGAAACCTCATACAATTGCAGTGATCATGTTAAGTAATGCACAAAGGACCCAAATAATGAGTGAGAGGCCAACAGATCCGGCATGTTCGACAATTCCCTTGAATGATTTTTGGCTAAAATGAAACAAACATATAGATTGAAAAAAAAAAACCTTCGGAGCAATGAATATTCCACTTCCAATAATAGAGCCGACTATATAAGCTGTAGCTCCAATCAATCCGATTTTGTTTTCTTCCTTTTTCGCCATCGAAAATACAGAAAAGAAGGTAGCCGCCTGCTGACCAAATAATTCAGCCTATTTGTTTCTTTCTTATCAGTACAAAGATTTTCGCAAAATTTTATGATTGCCGATATATACATTCAAAATTACAATCATTTTTCTAATTTCTTTCGTTTTTCTCGAGGTAGTGTTGATTTAAGTGTCCGCGAAAGGAATTCCTTGTTTGTTGCAAGACTTTTCGGTCGAAGCCTGGAATATTAACGGGTATTTCGAAAAAATTTTCCAGATATTTCTCACCATCCTTGTGGTCCATATTGTTCCGCTCGATCCTTTGCCAATTTAACTTCAAGCAAAAGTGCAGATTTCGCCTGAAATTGTCATTTATTTGTTGATTGTTTGTCAAAATATATGTGAGAAATGCAGCTGACGCCTTATCAAACAATTATTGCTACTCATCGAAACCAGACACTACTTCAATAGAAATTAAAAATAAACTGAAATTTTATATTCAAATGCTTAATTAAAATAGATTTAGAATAATCAACGAACCGTTTAGAATAATCAACGAACCTTTTCAATTTTGTAGTCGCTTATTGCTTTTTTTTCTTTTTTCGCTTCTTTTTCAGGTTCAACGGTCGAAGTACTTGGCTTCTAAACTATGTATTTTTAATTACTGAAAAATTCTTAATGAAATCATTTTTTAAATGTTAAAAAACAAACTTCGGAGACAATGTAATTAAAATAAAGTTTTTTTAAAGTTGAACAAATTCTTATTCCTTTTTAGACCACATTTAATGTTACTCAATTTCTAAAAAAATATTTTACTGCATTGCCTCTTCACAACTAGATCTTGTAAATTGTCAATTAATTATTACATAGTTCAATTTGTTCTTACTTCGTCACATTTCTCAGTTTTTCGTTTTCTATTTAGTAGTGCTTGAATCTTTTCATTTTTCTTCGTCTGTTCACTGGACATCTTGACTTTCTTTTTTGTAAAAAGTTTTTGATTAAGCTTGGAATAAAATCAAATATAATATATTTTTGGATGCTATCAAACCAACACACAAATAAAAAAAACTATTCGAGTATATAAACAAGCTAGAATCTGTTCGACCAGTCTCATTCATTCAATAAAGTTCTATGCAGAAAAAATTAAAGAAAAAAGTGAAACAGTTTCGAAAAATGTTGAAGAGCACAAGTGAAATATGAGCAAAATGTTGGTAGGTGTTTGGTCAAGATAATCATAACACACGAATAGGAACAAGAGAAATACTAATAAAAAAAAGAATAGAAATACCTCGTTGTGGCAAAAGTGACAAAGAGAAACAAGAAGAATTATTTAAGGGAAGAACGGTGTCAAACATGTACATGAATACAGACAAGAATAAATTGAACTTATTCAACAGTCAAAAAACTAATTCACTTAATTGAACAATTATGGCTGAAAGCTAATGGATGCGACTAGATTCCATATTATCTTTTGCAAAATTCTCAATTCTCATGTTCTTCGACGACTCCGCTATCGAGAGAATTGAATGATAGTCGTCGAAAGGATGCTCCATTTGATGACGCTGATGAATTCGCGCTGCTACTACTACCATTCTAAAATAATCGTTTAATTATTATGATCATTTCGAATTGAATTGATTACCCCCATCTTGATGGTTTCATCTAATTCTGGCAAACCACTGTCCCTTTGGCTATCGTTTCGCAGTGTGTGCTGCTCCATTTCAAGCTCAAGTCGCACTTGCTCCATTTCCGTAACTTCTCGAATTGATTCAGCAATATCGGCTACGAAGTGGCATCTGAAGAAAATTATATGAATTAAGGAATCTCTTGGAATATTCGAACAAACCTATCGTCATAATTCCTCGCATTGAAGTGGATTTTCTCGTGATTTGGGCAAACAATTGTTAATCCAAATTCGTATTGACCTTTTTTGAACTCAAAAACATTAGCACCGAGCAAGAAGGACCATTGTTTCAATGTATACGTGCATCCGGTGACCGACGAAGAATTCCTGCGGACTCCTTTAGCGACAATCAGCATATCATTGAAAAGGAACACATCGCGTTCTCTTGCATTCGATGATTGTTTTTTCGATGGATCACTGACTTGTTGCAGGCGACAATAGCAAACTAATCTTCTTGGAGTTTCAGTTAGTCTCTGAAAACATTTTGTACAAACATAAATAGCACTAATTGCAAATAAAACGCACAGGTTTATCCTTTCCAATAATCGCTCGATCAACTCTCTGAACCTGTGCCACATGATCATCGCCAGGCCTCAGTTCATCCTTCTTGATCCTTTCATAAATACCTTCCAGAAACACTCGATCCAAATCTTTTCCGTCTTTCTCGCCGGCAGCCTTGTCTTGTCCTCTGAGATTTCTCACGAAATCATTTGAGGTCATACGTTGCTAAAAACATCACAAATTAAAATCTGAAATATAAGAAAAATAAGAAAACCTTCACATTCGGTGAATGTAGATCAGTATTGAGCATTATGATAGCAAAAGCAAGCAAATGTACAGTATCCCAACCACCTCGGAACATTGATGTTCGTTTGGGATTTGATTTGGAGTAATGAAGGGCAAAAGCTTGAATTATTTTGTCGATTTTCTCGGCTTCTTTCGGTAAAATAAAATATTGCATGGCTTTGCGAAGAGCAACATCTACTTCAAGACCTCGAACATCGATTAGTGAAATGAAATATCTATAAAATAAATTTAATTTAAAAATTTGATTTTCAGGCTTACTTTAACACAAGGGAATGATATGATGAGTGCAAGGTGCCGATATACTCTCCAATCATTGCTTTACTTAATCCACGGCGACCAAACAGAAGACTCGCCAGCGAATCCGGCGAGTTTTTCACGAATCCCCATGCTGTAAGGAGTTGGACACCACGTTCGGGTTTTCTGAAAATTGCGAAATTCACATCAATATATTTTTTTGAAATTTTATTATCGGCTTCGCGCGATTTGGCAAAAAGCCAAAAAACGGCGGGGATGTGGTCTCAGGACAAAACTAGTAATGTAGATTTAAGGGCCAATGTATAAGAATAGGTTAAAGGCGCACACCGCGCATCGTTTTTTTTGGCATTTAGCCACATTTTTCGCGCGACGCCGACAATATAAACTAATTAGATATTTTTTCGCTATCGAATAAAAAATCTCACTTATTAAAAAAGTTCAGCGCAATTCGATATTGTCGTTTCCTTTCTTGTTCGGTCAACGCCCGACTCGGAAATTGTTCCGACGTTTTCCTGCTCGTTCTCGACGAATCCGCACCACTAAATCGACGGAACAATATTTTTTTTACCGTTGAAAAAATAACTCACTCGGCATGAACGCGGTGTTTGTCGAGACGCGGCAGCGAATTCGAATGTGCTGGGTTGTGAGTGACTAATGACGGCCGCGGAAGCCAAACCTCGGCCGCCGTCATCTCTCCGCTGCCGGTTGGCGCACAACGCGATGAAGCGGCGAATCGACGGTTGCCGAGACGCGGTGACATCAAACTATCTGAAAATTTGAATTTTACAGTGAAAAATGTTGTAATTGAGAAAAACTAATCTTTAATAAAAATAGTTTTTTGTTGCTTTCAAAAAATCAGTTCTTTGAAAATTTTTAAATTTTATGAAAAAATCCTTGATTCCTTTTTTTTGGAAGAAAACAGAAATTAAAGTTGCTGGCGTATGGCTAAATGGAAAAAATCTACGGAAGCGGTCTTGGGGCAAAAAAATTCAATCAATATTCAACTGTCGGAGGTATGTCGACAATACACTGAGCAAGGTTTTTAGAAACTAGTTAAAAACTGATTTTCAGGTGGAAATAACCATCAGTGTTTACCGTAAGATTAAGAGTTTCGTGAAACATCAGGCCTTTCACACTAACAAAGTAGTTGAACGATGTAACTAAATTTTTAAAGCAAATAAATAAAAAATAATCGTCAAGAGGAATGCGAATAAAATTTTAATTTTTTTTCGGGGGTTTTTTTATAGAACAATGCTTTTGCAAGCGTGGCATTCATTTGTCAAACAATTCGACGCGCTGTAACATCGATCAAACTATAACATGATGATTAATTTGTCACCAATCGCATATAAAATTACACTTTTGAAAAGTTCTAATTTATGAATGTTTAGTAAAAACTTTGTTTTACAGGCAAGAGACCAAAATTATTTTTTTTTTTTATTTTAAAGGTTTTTTTAGTTCAAATTTCGGCAAGTTCGAATAAAAGTAAGAAACCGAAATATGCACAAAAAACAGCAAAGTTGAAAAAATTTAGCTATAGCGAGATGAACATCAAACCCTGAAAACTCTGCATATTAATTTTTGGAAAAACAAGAATACAAATTTTGGAATAATTACGAAGAAACAACTGTTCGCTGGTGCCTTGAAAACCGCATAAACAAATTTCGAAAAACACGAAGCCAATGAGACATCACACCACTAAATTTAGCCAAACCTCCAATCACATGTGATGGTATCAACCGAAACCGAATCTAGATTGTGAGAAAATACGTCGAGATTCACGGGCGAAAGGGAAATGGCATGTAAAAAAACGGCAACATGTCAAAAATTGCTATCTTTAGCTCGATTCAACCCGCAACCGATCAGACGGAGACTGATCGCATTAGAAACACGAAACGATTCCAAAATAAATATGACGTTTTTTCTCTCCCCATTTTCTTCCTTCTCCTCATTCGTGTAAACATTTTTGAGGTACTAGCGGTGGTTGGAAATTCGAAATTTCGAAACTTCAAAATAAACAATGAACTGGTCAAGATCACACCTAGCAATTTTAGTAATACAACGCCACCAACGCATATAATTGTTGCGAAGCACCGGATGAAAAACGCAACAATTTGATACACGAGGTGCGGCTCTCTGTGGTGTTGGTGGTGCCTCATTTCTTTTAAATTGCCGCAGAGGCTGAGTGCACAAAAGATGAATGAGTGCAGTGTGGTGTGAACGGAAGACGAGAAAAATCGCCCCGTCGGTCCAATATATTTTTTTATCAAGATCAACGTGGAGACTCACCAATCATATTGGAGTTCTGAAGACTTGATAAAGCAGCTGGCGCTGGCGATGGCGGGCTTCGATCAACAGTGTTGGCACGCGTCGCACGATCCAGACGTAGCTGTGCACTAAGACTCGTTGCGTATTTTCTGAAATAAACTATTTATTTTGGCATAATGCATATTTTTCATTTATACTATTTTTCAGATCGGAGGAAATTGAAAATGGGATTTTTGCGGGCATGAATTATACAAACAATAAACTTGAAAACGGCAAAACTCACACAAGTAAGGATATCACTGTGACAAGAAGAACAGGAGCAAGCAAAATGAGTTCAATCAGCATTTTTCAGCATTTGCGTACGTGGAAAAGAAATTGGAAAAAAATTGAAATTCATGCTGGTACGAGAGCACAATGACGCACAACTACGGTCTTCGTCTTGTACAGTACTCATTTCTCCACACTCCAATATTTATTATTTACGGCCAAAGCTCTCGCGCGCATGCTGACAGCTTTGAAACGAATGATGTTTTTGACATTGCGCAAAATGAAATCGAGCCTGCTATACTGTCTTCCGGTGCGGATTGTTTTACCTTTCAACTTATTCAAATAAGACAAAAAAAAAAGAAATAAGAGGAAGAAAGTAAACGAGTGGAGCAAATGAAGAATACGAGGAGGTCTGCACAATTTTTCGCGGCGCCGTCGTCTTCTTTATTCGGCAATTGGTCGCGGAATAAATGCTCTTTTTGCCGAATGAATGTATGCGAAAAATGGGATGGAGACGGGCGACAAGAACAATCTATTCGAATATTCACACACTCACACACACACATTGCATTTTATTTGATACTGTATATACACAATACTCTATGATGGTCAGAGCTCACTAGTGAGAGGTCGAGTGGAGGTGATAAAATAAAAATTTTATGAGGCGGTATTCAAAAAAAATGATTGGTCCTTTGGCCGGCCGGCGCAGGTGGTGGAAAAATATAAATTTCCTCAAAATTCAAAAGACAGTTGATCATCTTTTTGCTGAATTCCAAAAAAATTTTGAAATGCTGAATTGAATTTCTTGGTTTCTGTTTACGATTTGCTATTGTAATAATTAACGAAATGATGGCATCAATTAGCATCAAACGGTCATTTTTAGGTCAAGAAACCAGTGTAAACTTGCTGTTTGAAGTCAGTTTTTCGATTTTGCCAGTTAAAAGAATATCTAAAAAATAAAAATAATTGGTGTATTTGCATGACTGATTTTGTACTGTAGCGAGAATGTACTTTCGGAGCACTTTCGACTACAATAGAATAAGAAAATGTGTGTTCACTAATTCGCTAATTTTTGCAATAAACCACAATGTGCGTGTTTGTTTCATAACACACAATCAGCAACACTGTATTGGTGATGGTGAAGAAGGGGCTGGACTGTCGATTTGATCGCCGACAAAAAGCATCGTAAAAATAATAGTTTGGTGAGAGAATCGGCCCGCGCAACCATTCATTTTTATGCCCGTTATCCACACACGGGAGTGGGAAATAAAAACGTGTCGAAGCGACAAAAAAAAAATGAACAACATTGACGAGAAAACTGTACCAACTCAAAAAAAAAATGGTTGAGGGTTTTTTTGCGATTGAAAAAGGCCTCAGATTCGCAGATGATTCAAAATGTGTCACAAGCCGGGCGGGGCGGAGAAAAGAATGCAAATATTCCTCACCCTGTCAGTGATAGTTCATTCCTGTTTGCTGATGTCGAACATTTGCCTTCATTCATTGAATCGCTGCAACAAAAAACAATGGATTTCCTCGGAAAATGAAAATAATTAAAAAAAAATAATTTCCTGTTTTCTGAAAGGCGTTTCCTAATAAAAAAATACTCAAGGTCTTTGCAAAAAAATAATTTGAATCGAGCCCATCAACTCAAATTTTTAGAAAATTCTTACATTGTTTGATGACTATGCGACGTCAACATGGTCCACCGCTTCTTGAGGCAATATTCTCGAAATGCCCTCTGAATTATTGTTGCTGCTCGATGTGCTCGATCGACTCCGCCATATCGTCGTTCGAGAACCTGAAAATCCGCCATTTAATTCCTTCGTCAATTTTCAAATTTCAAATAGTGCAAAACAATTTCGTTTATTTTCGTGTTGCATACCAAATGAGGAACATGCCAGTTTATGGTAATCTATTCGAAATTTCGCAAACAAACCATGAGCCCTATTGTATACATATTTTGGTTACGAAATGAACCACAAACAAGAAGGAAGTTGGTCAATGATTTGTGATTATTTGATGGAATCGGGTCCCAAAAAAAAAAGAATATGAAGTCGGGGCATCAAAAGGAACCGGTATCATTGGAATGCTTGCATTTTTTGAATCGCACCAACAAAAACAAAAACAACGAAAGATTGTTTCTAACAGTGTTTTGCAACCGCCTAATAAAAAACTCCTTTTTTGTAGCTTCTGATTAGAAATGTTTTGACGGGGACGGGAAGACAACAGCAAAACTCGATGCGCACGCTGAGGTACTTAAATCTGGTTCGGAAATTTTGCGAAATTGCATGCGCAACATCGAAAATGTAATTTTTCTCCTCCGAAAAATGAATGTGCAATTGGCGAGTCTCTTGAGAAGAAATAATCGAAATTTGATGCAATTTTGTAATTCTCGTGATTTCAGTGTAGATTTAAATTTTTCGTTGACTGAATATTAAATGCGCGTACGCTATAATGCAATGTACGTAGTCTTGCGTACTTATCGCTGCCTCAATGGCACATTGCCAATTTTTTTTTATTTCGTCAAGTCGTTTGACGCCAATAATATAATAAGTTATCTAAATTATCCATATTTTTAGGAAATAAAGACAATCACACATTTTAAAGAAACACCAGTGTATGCGCCAACAAGTCGTCTCACCAAATGGCAGCTAATTCGAACATATTCTCAATAAGACAATTTCAAAGTGAACCGATGAGCATCTAATATTATACTTATTCGATTATCCCCCGGTGGACATTTATAAATTATTCTGACTCGCATAGATGTTTATTCAGGATTTGAATATCAATCTATGAACCATTTAGAATAAATATTTAGTAGCAAACCTGTACTTGCCGCAATGCCAACTCATCTGAAAGCTGATATCCTCGTTGCACAAACACCCTACTTGTCGACGTGGTTCCACGCCATTCTTTCGGATTTCGCATCGCTGAAATAAACTGATAAAATTTCGACATAATTGATCAAACAAATTCGGCGAATATTTTCGATATCAAACCACAAAATGATAATTAGTCATCAAAAAAAAATAGGAACAAAATAAGGCAGAGGTACGCAAATTAGTCATCCGAGAAGAACAAGAAAGAGAGAGAGAGAGAGAGAGAGAGAGAGAGAGAGAGAGAGAGAGATACAGGTATCGCATAATAGATTGCATTTATATTATGTATAATGGTTGAACACAAAAAATATATATGTATGTGTTGTACAGTTCGGCGGCGAATTTCGTCAACATCAATTCGCTAGCTCTCCATTTTTTGCTTTCTCTTTCCTTATTTGTACATACAGAAAAACTGGGAAGAGGAGCCTCTTTTAAATCAGTTTCATACTGGTTCTCTCTTTTCAGAGCAAATCGATACAATAATTTGGTGATCGATTTATCAGCGCTCAAAAAAGACGCAGATCAACACAATTTTTCGTTTGAAATTGATGATGATTGAGCAACTGTTTGGCGGCACAATTTATTTGAAAAAAAAAATGACCGCAATAAAAAAAAGAAAATTGAAAAAGAAATGAAATTGATAAACGAAGATTGTAAGAAAACGGAAAATATCGAATGGAAAAATTTTTTCGAAATAATGAAAAAAAATTTGAAGACATAATTTTTTCTTATGAAATAATTTTGAAACATCGAAAATTGAGCAGAATTTATAATATGAAATATTTTGATTTTAATATTCCTACAACGACGTTTTTATTCAAAAAATGTCCGAAGAATAAAATCAAAAAAATGTTGCGAATATATTTAAAAGTTCAACCGCAAATGATAACAATTGAATCGCGAAACGTCTATCACCGATTTTCTAGCGATTATTTTAGGAATGATAACGATGAGTTCAACGAAAGAAATTGAATAAATAGGAATAAGAAAATGGACTTAGCGGTTTGGAACTTGCATTATTTAGTAGGGGAAACACTAGAAAACGGAAAGAAGCTTGAATAGGAAGAAGAAGAGAAAGGAATTGGCAAGTGGGAGGCAAATGAATACAACTTTTTATTATTAAAACTCACGATTTAATCGACACATTTAATTGAATGCATATTCCCCATAAAATTAGTGTTTATGATGTCGGTTTGAAGCGAATATTGATTGATTCAACGAAAAGAATTGATGAAAAAAGAGAAAAACGAAAAGAAAATTCTAAACGAACCAGTTGGAAATTCATAAAAGAAAATCTAAAATCGTTTTACGAGACAATACCATTCAAATTCGCTCGTAAAATCACAATTATTTGCCACTGGCCTTTTCAGAAAATTTTTGTTACAAATTGACTGTAAACGATCAACGCGGAAATTGTCGGCAGATTGATTTTTTAAGTATGGAGATGTTGGGTGGTTTTTTTTTCGCAAAATTAAAATTGTGGATGTTCACGAAACCAGTGAATTTCTCGTTCAATATAATATCAAATGATGGAAAAACTTGAAAAAAATCCCATAGAGAAAAAAGAAGAACGAAAAAATGAAAGCTGAAATTAGGTTAATTCCTAGAACAAATCGAAACGTAAGAAACAAGCAAATCTCGTATTACTCGCTTATTAGATTGTTGAACTCAAATTAGGACTCACAAAATTGAGCAGAAAAAATTGAGAGAAAGGCATGCAAAAAAAAGCGAGATTTAACAAGTGAAAAACGAGTACAAGAGGAAATTCGATACGAACTTTGGCTGTTTCTCGTGCATCTCGGGGACCACAAAATCGAGATAATATCAAACAATGGCACCCGAAAAAAGAAAGAATTGACAACCATTCCACATAATGGTAATTATATATAATAATATGCGATGAATAATGAGAATAAGGCGAAAGAAAATGATGTTGATGACTGATGAAAAAGCTTGTTTTTCCAGCGCTGGTTTTCAATAATTTTTCGCCTTCATCGAATTATCAGGTTTCCATTCAAATGTGATCGCTAATCAAATTGAATTTCAAAAAACCAAATTTATCGATGAATAATTTGGCATTCTGTTTAATTTTTGTGACATTTTGTCTCTCATTTCCCCCATCTTTTTTTTGGGGGGGGGGGTCCGATTTTCTCCTATGGGAATTCATATAAAACGGCGTGAAAGTCTAGAGGAAGATCTTCGATGTTTATATTTGTTTGGTTTCGAGACGCGAAACAACACGCTTTAATGAAATTCGGTTGCGGTTTTTTTCTCGATGAAGCTGAAAATATTGGAAGCGAAAGAAAAACAAGAAAATGGAAGTTGTGACGTAGGAAGAAGAAGAAGAAGAAGCAGGCAGCTCGGACTCACCTGAGATCAAACACTAGCCGCGAGAATTATTCAGACGAACAACTCGGTTCCCATGAATGCGATCCTATTCAAAACCGAAATCACTCTTCTCTTTTTTTTTTGAAAAAGTCATTTTTAGTCGGTATTCTATTCTTTGTACTATCAACTCGTTCGAATTTTGGATTATTCTAATCACAAATCGTTTTTGATTCGAGTCAAGTGATCAGGTGAAGACGAAAAGCTTCTCATTAGCGCTATAAATCAAAGTTTCTGAAAACTATAATCCATTTTCATTTTTATTCTAAATAATTTAAATTTGAAATACACAACATTCCTCAAAATCAAATAAATAATCTTGCACAACTTCCAAATGAAATTATTATTGGAAAAGGACAGATTAGAAGCAAAAAAAAACGATGTTGAAGACAGCTGAGAATAAATAAGAAGCAAGAATTTTCGAGAAAGAAATCCAAAAACGAAAATCTGATTACGAAACCTTTCATTAAAAACTTCAAAATTACACTTGAAATTAATTCTAAATATAGCGTCGCAAAATTATGGGTGTTTGCTGGCAATTATATATATTTTTTTTCAACACAAAATGAAACTTTTTTTTTCCAAACTTAATAAGTGATGTCAATTGTTGGAAAAGCAAAAAAAAGTGCATCTAAAAAATAGAAAAAAAACGAGGCAAAAGTGCTGCAGACAGTATTGGTATGCATAATATAAACACATGTAGTGCCGTCGGAATGTGTCATGAGCAGATAATATCATATGAATGAAGGCTAGTGAGGTACCGAAAATATGAGGACGATCGCAGAGGGGTCCGACCCGAGCCGCTTCACCTCATAAATTGCATTTTTGACGAGGAATGAATGATGGTGCGGAGAGTGCAGACATGTCATAAAAATGACGGACGGAGCTCGAACTCGAGACAGGAGCTCGACATTCGAATCATTGTTCGGTTGAGTCGACTCGAGATGGATGCCTAATTAGTGGGCGACGAGTGAACGACAATTTGCATGTTAAGTGCTTTCAAGTGACAGACATAATAAAGTTTCCTCGATTAAGAGACATCGTCCATTTAGGAAAAAGCAGTTTGCGAAATGTTCGGCAGCACAAAAAAATCGACAAAAGTTTCATTGGGCCACTCAAATTTGATGCTAATGGATTCTGACCGATCCAATTCATACCGTAATGGGCTAGAAACTAGAATTCAGCCAAACATGTGCCACCTTTTTTTTTGTTATACTTTCAGAACATCATTTTGACGGTAGAGCAAAAAATATCGGCAAGAATGAAAAAAATATTAGCAAGAATGTTTAATGTATAAAATTAATAGAAACGAAAAGGTTCGACGGTTTCGAATAGACGAAGGGATGAAATGATTTTGAAAAAAAAAGACGCGCTGTTTTTCTCACACAAAACGATACGCCCATAAATGGCGCAACACAAACAATGCGGTGTGTGTGAGTTTGTTTGAATGACTCATAAAGCATTCTCACGTTGAATTTGTTTCAGGTCGGTTCGAAAAGGAAAACAATAAATCGAGGTTCCTTTTTTATTATACGTGTGACTTTTTTGTTTCGGGAAAAAGTTAAAGTTAGAAAAAAAAATAATTGATTTGATTTCGAAAAATATTCGTGTCTTCGAAATTTTCGTAGAAAAAAATGCTGATCCAAAATATTTTTTTTTCTTTTGTCGAGAGAGAAATTTTTCAGATGAATTCGGGGAAAAAATTTTTTCGACAATGTCAATATAATGTTTCTTTATAAAATATAATGCGCATTCCTGGCGTTTCAGTGAACATCGCTGATATGAAGACAATTGTTTTAAACTCCTGCCAGTGAGAGGAAAAATTGGTAGAACGCATATGAGGGTTCGTAGAATGGATTGAAACCAGATATGTGCGAGTTTCGAGAGCATGAGAATATTGCAACACGTTGAGAACAAGCAGGCAACTAATTTGAATAGTGCAATTGATACCCGTAAGAGCAGCGAATTGTTGTGAGTGTATGTCGAATCTCTCTCTTTCTCCCTCTCGAACTCCCTTGAAAACCAGTAGAATGTAAATACAAAAACGAACATGTTGGTTGTGGGGGGCAGGCGAGAAATCGCGGCGTGTTCTGTGTGAAATAAGAACGCGGCGGATCGCGCTGAAGTGGAAGGAAGCACGGGCCGAGCAAACACGATTGAGACGATGGCAGCAGCATCGCGGGAGCGAGAGCAACACACGTTTTTACTATTGATCATCATCACTCATTTTATCGGTTGTGTTTTTCGATAATGATTAATTGGGCCGACTCTCTTACTCGGTTTTTTTACACTGGCGACCACTACGAAAAGTTTCAAACATCGGAGAAACAAAGAGTTTCGATGAAATAAATTTTAGACAATTCATTAGAGAAGAAAATCGTTCAAAATTGGATTAGAAAATTTGAAACCAAATGTGTAGATATTTCGCAACGACGAAGAATTAAAAAAATTTGATGACGGAAACCAGACATGCAAATTTCAAGCAAAAAATCGGAGCGAGCTGTAAGCCGGCCTCGTGCCGGATTAAACGGGAAACCGAAAACATTTCAACGAGCTCAAAATTGATTTTGCTGAAATTTAGAGGGATCTTAATGACACTTAAGGATTTCGGGAATATTCCAATCATCTAATCTCGCAAGGATACATTAATTAATTCGACTTGAA